CTGTGGGAGCAAGAAAGCAGCCTCTGCCAGAACATTCTGGATCTCTCTTGTCAGGTTTCAAATAGGAAGTGTCTGGCTGGGCTGAGGAATTGTTCCCTGGAGAAATTCCAACCAGAATGTTTGGCAGTTGCCATGAAGTCAAGGGCATTTCCTGGGGATGGGGATCTATTGAAAATATTCTATATTTATCAAATCACCAAAGATTTTGTCTCCTTGATGCTTGAAATCGTCATAGAACAACTTTCATCTCATCTCTATCCAACAAATATTAGTGAGTCCCTAGTGAGGGGCAGATGCTGTGCTGGTTGGTGGGGAGCAGAGTCCTGGGACCTGACCTGGCAGGTCCCGTCACCTCTAGGGGGAGACACCCTGGTAAGGAAGTCAGTGCTGCCTTCCAGTGACAGAGCAGGCTGAGCACACACGCCGAGCTCTGGAACCCACAAAGACTGCCAGGAAGTGGGATCGTTTGCAACAGTAAGTTGGCTGTTTGAAAGTAAGACTTGGTCATAACATGGTTGATAAATGATGGAACACCCCAAGAACAATGCGAACCTGACACCTGCTTGCACACAATTGATCTGCGAGGAACAGGGCGGATGCAGTTAACTGCACCTGGCCTAACATCCACACAACACACACACACACACACACACACACACACACACAGGGCTGCGTTGGTTTCCAACCCACACCCATCCATCCCGGGTGTGCAGCTTTCAGTCAGAGTTCAGGGGACCCTCCTACCTGTACTTCACAGTAACTCGGGGCTGCAACCTGTCTGGTGTCCACGTGCACATCAAACTTCAAGTCTTCCAGTTAAAATACTTCACCTATTGCAGCCGTAGTTCTTAAGCACTCAGTGTGTTTAAAACTGTATTACCATTTTTACGAGGTTCCTATCTTTTTTCATGAGTCACTAATGACATTTCTGAGTATCATGGTCCTAAACTCCACCTCCCCGCCCCTCTGTTGCATGATTTGGCATAATATAATAATTTGGGGGATGCATATGTTATGGCAGAACTGACTGTAGAGAAGACAAAGAAAATGGTAAGAGGGGAGAATTACAGGACATTCTTGGAAATTAGAAAGTAGAGCCGGTTGTAACTAAATGTGAGATGATGGACAATATACAGATGGTCTCTGCCCCGGGGGTCTTGGCTTCCACAGGCTCTAGGGCACCTACAACTCTTGTAAATTCCTAAACCGTGAGAACACAACACCAGGAACATCTCTTGTTCTGATATTTGGCCTCTGACCCCTACCCTGACACAGAACTCCTAAAACCCTTGTAAATTCCTCAGTGATAAGTGCACTAGGAGCAGCTTCTGATGTATTGAGGTGACTCAGGGCAGACTCCGGGATGGGGGCTGGTCACCAGAAAGAGCAGGCTGTGAGGGGGCAGAGGGGCTGCTAGTGCCCAGAGTGGACACATCAGAAGCTTCTTAGAACCCTGGAACAAAGGCCTGGGGGGAGCTTGTTTGTCCAGCACAGCCAAGACCCCTGAGGCTCTTGAGCAGGTGGATCCACTTCCTCCTGATGAAAGTATCCGGGTCCACACAGCAAAGGTCTGGAGAGTCACCCAGTGAACCTGACATGGTGGCCCTGAGGCACCCGCTGCCTGAGCTGAGGTGTCGGTGCACCTGCCAGTATTGTTACCAAACGTTTTAGTCTTTGGCAGTCTGGCTGGTGAAAATGGCCATTCCACCGCTCCCCTCACCCCGTTTGCTCTTTGATTTTCTTTTGCTGTTTTTGGTAAGCAATCCAGCGGTTCAAGCTGCCACGGTTCTACTAGCTGTGTGACCTCAGACCAGAGACTTAGACTCCCTGGCCTCAGTTTGCTCTCAGTAAGGGGTGTCTAGTACTGTCCACTAGGTATTGTTAGAACAAAACAGGTCAAGAGCCGTGAAGGCTTCCGCGGGCCAGCCCCCTGAAGTGAGCCCTAACTGAGCACCGGCCACGCTGCGTGTCTGCCGCCACCTTCCCCTTGCGCTCTGCGGCTCGTCTTTCTCTCTCGGATTCCTCTCTTCGGGAAGGAGCCCTTGTCTTTCGTCACTTGACTTGTTTTGAGAATTACACTCCGTGCGGAGATGGTCAATGACTCTTGTTATGACTGTAACATTTGCATGTCAAGGTAACGAAGACAAATCATGCTTTCCAGAAAGAGACGATGCTGATTTCAGGGGATGGACAGCGGGTAATGGTTCTGCAGGCACAGCTGGGGCAGAAATGTCCCCCTCACCTCTCGAGAGGAGAGCTCCCAGTTCCGCTGGTGTGGGCTGTGTCTGGGCTGGGTTTAGTGAGGCCAAGGAGGGCTCAGGACTGGGCCTGCCCATTTGTTCATGGAGGGGTTCCTGAGGATGTGGGGGTTGTCAGGCGAGGATTATGAGGACAACTGAATGTGTATGCTTGGGGTGCGTGTGTGTGTGTGTGTGTGTGTGTGTTTGTGAAGGAGTGAGCCTTTGGGAAAAGCAGAGGGTGACTGGGCAAAGGCTCAGTGGAATTGACTTATCTTAATGTTCTGCCCAGAATCTGTGAGGCCAGCAAGCATGGCTGGGGTGAGATTCATGTTTCCAGGAACCACTGGACCATGCATTCTCGAGGGGCAGGAATTCCCCGAGCCTCTTGGCACTGTCAGCTCCTTGTGACGTGCCCCAGAGGGTGTTTATAGGCACAGCCTGGCACCTGGTGGGCTCCTGGTGCTGGCTTGTGAATGTAGAATCAGCAGACAGGGGAGGGCTGGAGCTGCCGGTCGTGCTCTACCGGGGGTGGAGGGGCTGAGGAGCACACACGGGGAGGCCTTGGGATGGGGATGTTGTTCAAGATGAGGCTGGGCCCGGACCTGAAAAGTCCACCTACATTTTTGCCTTTGCAATATCCTCCTGGAATCCCGGGTATTACTCTGGTGAAGAAACTGTCACCCGGGGAGGGGCAGGAACTAGTCAGGGGTCACGAGACGAGACGGGTTATCAGCACTGCCTTGCCAGAGATGGCTCAGCTCAGGCTCTACTGCAGAAGTGGAGGAGTGGGAGGAATTCCTGGGGTGGGCAGGGTGTAGCCAGAGGGCAGGTTTGTGGGGGGGGCTGCAGGTGGGAGGGGCCAGCAGCAGAATGTGGGCGGGGTTGGAAAGTAGAGGTGGGAAAATGGGGTGGTGAGTAGTGGGAAAGAGTTGAGGAAGAGTGTTGAGGAGGAGGAAGGTGGAGTGTGTGTGCATGCTAGGGTGGGCATGTATATTTGTGTGTGTGAGTGTGTGTATATGTGAGCAATGTGGGGGGTGTGTGTGTGTGTGAATGAAACAATTAGTCTCTTTTGTCTGCTTCAGGGTGTGAGCAGTGAAGGTGTGGGGTCCCCATGCATACAAATATCACAGTGCCAGGAAATCTCACACACACTCACACACACACACACACACATGCACGCACACACACACACCCTGAAGCTGACATCACTAAAGGTCTGTTGGGCCGTTGGGAATCCCTCTGCCTCAGGCCTGGGCAGTCCCAATACCAATATAAAGGCAGGGGAAGCGGGAGGAACCTCGCAGGGATCACACAGAAGGCTGCTGCAGGCCACAGGCCAGAAGTCTTGTCTGGAAGTCCTTCTGGTCTAACTGAAGTGAAGCCAGGAAGTGCCTCTGCCCCGCCTTCCTGCAGCTGGCATGCCCCAAGGGCTTGGTCTGAGGTGACCATCTGACTGGCTCAGCGGGCAGGCCTAGGGGTGGCTGGAAGGCGAAGGGGACAGCAGGGGTGGCATCTGTCTTTTCAAAGGCCGCTCGGCCTGCCCTCTAGTCTGGAGAGACACGCTTGGGCAAAGGCTCAGTGGGATTGACTTCTCTTAATGTTCTGCCCAGAATCTGTGAGGCCAGCAAGCATGGCTGGGGTGAGATTCATGTTTCCAGGAACCACTGGACCATGCATTCTCGAGGGGCAGGAATTCCCCGAGCCTCTTGGCACTGTCAGCTCCTTGTGACAAGTGTGGCTGCTTGGGCGAGTGTGGCTTGTGTGACTGAGGCGTCTAAGAAGGGAGGCCAGCAGGAGCTGTCTCCCTCTGGTGTTCTCTGCTACCCCTCTTGGGCTGGTTTTAAAGCTGCGGGAAATTGGCAGTGGCTTCAGGTCAGAGAGATGGTGAGAGCTGGAGGCTGGGGAGGAGGGTTTGAGGGCAAATACGAGTGCACACACAGACATGCATAGAGAGTGTGCAATTGTGTAGCCAGGCATCCCGGCCCCTGAATACAGGCTCCCACCTGGGAGGTGTGCTCACAGACAAGCACAGGTGCGCTCAATCACGGCCAGGGGGCTGCAGGTGTGTACACAAGGCCAGGGGCCTGCTGACACCCGCCTGCCCCCTTCCTCCACAGGGACAAATGCCATAAGTGAGCAGGAATGTGCTCTGGGGGTTGGGGAGGCACAGGCTGGGGCCTCTGAGCTCCAGATGCCTATTGGAGTGGGGCGGGGGCCAGAAGTGGGGCCATGTTTATACATGGAAAGGAGATGTGGGGCAGTAGCCAGGGAAACCAGCTAGGCCAGGCCCACCCTGGGGTCAGAGTACGCAAGAACTGAGCTGATCTTTCAAGGAAGAATTGGACTGAGGTGGGGGGCAGGGGAGGGGGCCCTGGAGGCTGTAAGGAAACGCCTTCTGGGTTTCAGAAGTCTGGGGAGGAGAGCCTGGGGCTGAACTCCTGGAGTAGAACATTTTTTTTTTTCCCTCCACAATCTTTTCCTCCTTAATCTTTCTGCTCTGGCCTCAAGAATAGGGATATTCTTGGCCCCTCCTTCAGGAAGTCTTCCCTGACTGACCCCATTTCAGGTGGCCAGAACTGCTGTTTCCCCCCAGCTGCCAGAGTCCACCTGCACAGGGCCTGCGGGAATCTCGGGGCGCGCTCCCCTCCAGTCTGGACGGTTCCGGCTGGGAGAGAAAGCCGGGCCTGGGAGGGGTGGGCGGTGCCGAGGGCGGGAGCACAGCCAGGGGACGGGCCTCGCGGCTGCAGAGGTGGCCTGGGCTAGCGGATAAAAGCAGCCGGGCTCCCTGAGGCAGCGAGTTCGGCTCCCTCCTGGCCGCTGCTAGGTCCAGCCACTGCCCACGCCATGTCCATCCGCCTGAGCAACCAAGTCTTCAGCTCGCGCTCCGCAGCCTTCCCGGGCCGGGGCGCCCACCTGCGCCTGAGCTCCGCGCGCCCCGCCACCTTCAGCAGCAGCAGCCTCTACGGCTCGGGCGCCCCTCGGCCGCTGGGGGCCCCGCGCCCCTCCCTCCGGAGCCCCGCGGGCGCGGGCATCCAGGCGGTGACCGTCAACCAGAACCTGCTGGTCCCCCTGCGCGTGGACATCGACCCCGACTTCCAGCGGGTGCGCCAGGAGGAGCACGACCAGATCAGGACCCTCAACGACAAGTTCGCCTCCTTCATCGACAAGGTGAGGCCGCCCGGGCCACCTCCCCGCGCAGGGGCCACCCCAGCACCGCTGCATGTGGGCTGGGGGGGCCTGTAACACTTTCCCTGTGTCTATGAGTGGGGTTCTTGGGCCTGTCTGTCCCGCTTAGCAGGTGGGTCCAGAGGCCAGGGCAGGAGTTCTGCCTCCCAGGCTCCTTTCTCTGAGAGGGGTTGTGCAGAGCCAGCGATGAGGTAGGGGTGGCATGCCCCTGCCAGCTGAGGAGAACCCCTCTTTCCCTCGTCCTGCCTGTGCTGAGGCAGATGCCGGCAATGAAAGGCTGGAGAGAGGAAGGCTGCCAGCCACACCCGCCCAGCCTGCCAGCTTCCCTTTGGTGGTGGGAAATGAAGTTACACCTGCCCTTGTGGATAACCCATTTGGGGGGTGCTGGGGGACATTGGAGGTCCTGGGGAGCCCAAACACCATTTGTGAGGTGTTTTCCTCTGCTACACCTGGGTCCCATGGGGGTGGGAGACTTGGGAGGGAGGGGGAAGACTTGATAAGTGGGTCTAGGAGGGGCAGGAGCAAGGTGGGGCTGGCCCCAGGGACCAGGGGCTGGCCCGGCTGGGCCCCTCTGGCCGGGGCTTCCTCCTAGCAGAGGCCAGCCAGGTCCCTCCTCTGATGCCTTTGCCTACCTGTCTGCTTCCTTGTCCCCATGTCCCCTCTTCAATCCTGTAGACCACACATCCTCCAACTTCTGCTAAAGCTACCCAGGCCCCCAGGGCCAATGCCTCCCTTGCGGTTGAGCTGCTCCGTCTCGCTGCCTGCTGGCTGTCCCTTTGAGTTAGGTGCATACTCGGTCTCGTTTCACACGATTTGATTGTGGCACCTTATCCCGAGGCCTTCTTGGAGGCAAGGGGAAGGGAAGAGAGGACACTGAGGGAGCAAGGGCAGAGGTCCCAGCTTGACGGGCAGGGGCTGAGTCAGGCCCAGTACAGACTGGAAAAGGCAAGTCTTCAGAGAGGGAGGGTAAGTGGTCACTTGTGTGTGACAAGGAGCAGAGGAGGTAGGTGGCCCTAAATCACAAACCCCAGGATATGTCGATGAACCAGGCAGATCTGACCCCTGGATCACAGTCTAAGACACTTGAGACATGGTCCTGGAGGAAAGGCTTCAGGGTGGGCTTCCTGGAGGAGAGGGCCAAGGGCTGGCGGCCCAGATTGGTGGGACAGTCGGTGGGCGCATGGGCTGCTGGGCAGCTGGAGACCCTCCCAACCCTGCTGTGGGGGGCATGGTCTCGTGAGTTTCCACTTACGTTCTCCTTCTAGGTGCGGTTTTTGGAGCAGCAGAACAAGCTGCTGGAGACCAAGTGGGCCCTGCTGCAGGAGCAGAGATCGGCCAAGAGCAGCAACCTCCCAGGCATCTTTGAGGCTCAGATTGCTGGCCTGCGGAGGCAGCTGGAGAAACTGCAGGTGGATGGGGGCCACCTGGAGGTGGAGCTGCGGAGCGTGCAGGAGGTGGTGGAAGACTTCAAGAGCAAGTATGGTCCCCCAGCGCAAGCTTGGCCACCCCTGCCCGGCTAGTGTGTCCTCTATTAGCCGGCCCTCTGCAAGGCCCCTCTGGGCCTGGGTCAGAGGTTCAGCTGTACAATGACTCCCTTAAGGGAAGGGCTTGACTAACACATTTCCTGCCCCTCCCAAATCCTCTTTGTCCTTGGGGGCTGTTTCCTTGTCTCTCTGTTTGATTCTCCTGAAAAATCCAGTGAGATATCTCCTCCTAGCCCTGACCTGCATGGTTCACTTTGGGTGCCAGACCATTTTCCCCAGAGAGGAGAGGGCAGCAGGTGCCCTATAACAGGTGTATTCCAGAATTTGTACGACCCTCACAGATTATTCTAGAGCCACTCCATTTTTTCCAGGTGAAGAATTAGAGGCCAGAGGGATTCAGGAACTTTAATGAGATGACAAAGCAGATCACAGGGACAGCTGGGACTTGACCCTGGGGTCCTGAACTTCCAGGAGGAGACATGGAAAGAAGCAGGAGGGCAGATGACCCTTGGGGGCCATGGGAGGGGGGCTGTGGAGGCTGGGGTGTGTGGGTATGGCCAGGACAGACCAGAAGGGAGGCTGTGAGTTGGGGCAGGGCGTGTGGGAGTCTAGGAGGAAGGGTAGGGCTCTGCTTGGCCTTTGAGGTGCCTGCACTCTCTTTTTTCATTGAATAGAAACCCAAGCCTGAGGGTGGTTGGGCGGCTCCTCCTCACCCCAAACCTACCCAAGGGCACTGGGGGAAATGAGTGCTGTGCTGGCCTGGGGGTGCATGAGTAAGCCAGGTACTTCTGGCCCTGACTGGAGGCAGAACAAACAAAGGCCTCTGTGGAAGGTTCCCCCCTCCCTCCCATACTTCCCTAGGGCAACAGTCAACAGGATTAATCCCACAGCAGGTGGAACCAGACAGGTGCAGGGCAGAGAAGGCCTGGGCAACCTGGGAGACCCTGTTGTCAGGAGTGTGTGTGTGTGGCATGAGCACTCCCTTACTCAAGAGGCCTCAGTCGCTTCTCCAGGGCGTGGCTGATGGAGACACTGGCAGGGGCCAGGAGGGGCGCTGGCATCAGCTGTCCAGGAAGTTCCCCTTGGTGCAGTCTCTGGACTAGTGCCCAAGGTGAGGCAGGCGTGGAGGTATTTCCTTCACTTTTCCAGAAGACCCCAGGGAGTGGGGCTTTGGGAGTCCAGCTTCCTGGAAAGGCTCTGCCTCTCCAAGCATCCTGTACCCCCCACAAAGGTGTCCCACTGCAACTCAGCAGTTCTTGGGTACCGCCGATTTCCTATTCAGACACCTTTTCTGATTTTCCCAAAGAGGGGCAAGATGTAAGAATTATAGGAAAAAAAAAAAGAGTGGCAGCTGGGGCCGGACACTTGTTTTGCTGTGTCCAGCTTGCTGATGTCTTCCCACGACTGGCCAGCTGGTTCCTTGGGAGAGAGTGATGGAGGGTGGGGCTGTGGGATTAGGCTTGGGGCTAGTTCTTCTAGGACTTTCTGTACCCCTTCCTGAGCCCATGAGGTCTCTTTGCTTCACCCTCAGGAGGTGGGACGAGGTTGAAGTCAGGCACAGACTCGGGTCTGGCTGGGGTGACCCTCTCCTTGCCCTGTAACAGCTCCATTGCCAGGCTGCAAGTCTGGGCTTTGCCACTGAGCTGCTTAGCGACTGAGCAGAGCCCTCTGCCTCTCTGTGCCTCCCCTCCAGCCCTGGTGATCACAGCACCATTGCTGTAGGCCTGTTCTGAGTTTTATTGGGTTAAAGCATGGGGAGCGCACACCAGGGCAGCCCCATGTGAAAAGGCCATGTGCATGGCTATTATTGTGTCTTTTCTTGCTCCCAGTGTGTGCAGCCTTTGTCTTTTAATTCACGTCTGCTCCCTGCCCCGCCGCTACTACCCCCCTTCCGCCCCCACGCCAAGATGCAAAGCCGTAAGAATAACCACACAGATGTCAGGGGCATTTGCTTTCAGGGCTGACACCTGTCTGTTCAGGTGTGTCATTAAGGAGGGGTGAAGGCCGGGTGGGCAGATTTTCACATCTGGACATGAGGGGGATGGAGGCAAAGCTGCATCGACGTGACCGTGTTCCCACTGCTGCTGCAGGTACGAAGAAGAAGTGAACCGTCGCACAGCAGCTGAGAATGAGTTTGTGGTGCTGAAGAAGGTGAGTGGGGCAGACAGGCTGGGGGGGGCTGTTTGTAAACACGTGGGAAAGGAGACCACACGGACCTCTCCCCTGAGCAGCCCGTCGGGACCTGCGTCTGAGGTCTGGCCTGGGAACTATAAGAGGGGAGGGGTGGGTTGAAGGAGAGATCTGGAAGCCTTGCCTGTATAGCACAGTGTGTCTCGTGTACGTGCGTGTGTGTGTGCTTGCACATGCGTGCGTGTGTGTGTGTACTTGTACGGGTATCTTTGCGTTTGATGAGTCACTAGACTTGTGTCTGGGCTTTTGGGGGCTTAGACTTAAGACCAAAGGATGGAGGTTAAAAGGGCAGATTTTAACCCCGAACACAGAAGCGCTCATCATGGCGAGACCATTTCATCCCAGAAAGGGGGCACCCGAAGTGCTTGATGAATGAACAGGCCGGGAGGCCTTGAGGCAGAATGAGTTCCCTGTCCCTGGCGCAAGTCGAGGTTGGAAGGTCTTCGGTATATCTTAGAGGGACGGGACTGAAGATTCTGATTCAAGGCGCGCTCACCGAGCAGCTCAGCCTTCCAAGCCCACCACAGAGTGCGCTGCCCTGGAGGGAGGCCCCGGCAGCTCCGGAGACGGCAGACGTGGGCCCTGCCATAGGAATGCAGTGCAGGGGAGAGTGGCCATCTGGGGCCGGGCGCCCACAGTGGGAGCGGGACCTACCTGCCCAGGACGGCCTGTGTTAAACAGGCTTGGATTTGCCACCTCCGGGATGGCCTCCTGGAGTCTGCATGGGGTTTACTCTTATTTGACTGATGAGAAGTTGAGGCCCGCAGAGTTGGAGGATTTGTTCAAGGTCCCATAGCCACTCAGCGACGTGTGTATCCACGCGTGAGAGCTGCTAGGTACTGGCCAGGTACTCAGTTTGGGGTCTCGGGCTGCTCTGGGCTACTGGTGCTGGGAAGGCACCTCGGGTCCCGGCCCGTGTGGAGACTGCTATCATGCAGCCGGGGAGGGCGCTTAGGAAAACTTCCCGCCATGCATATCAGGCTCCTGGAGAAGCCATGGTCTCAGCAGGGCCAGCGCGACCTGATGCTGTGCTTGGGCAGTGCTGGCTCGCTCTAGCCCCACTAGGTGTTCTGCATCCTAAGGACATGGCGCCCCTCTACCTTTCTTACCAGGACGTGGACGCCGCCTACATGAGCAAGGTGGATCTGGAGGCCAAGGTAGACGCCATGAACGACGAGATCAACTTCCTGAAGACCCTCTATGAGACGGTCAGGGTCTGGGCGTGGGAGGCATGTCATGTCCTGCAGTTCCTGGCCAGGGGCCCTCTGGTCTGCCCCTGCCTCTGGGTCCAGTTGGAGGGTGTGGGTATTCATGCTGCTCTTTATTCTCTCCGGGCACAGGAATCCATGAGGGGCAAAAGGCTCAGACCAGGCCTCTGTTCGCCTTTGTCTAATCTCTGCCTGAGCGTTCAGCCTGCGCCAGCCCCTTCCGTGAATTCCCACACACTTTAATTTTAGGGACTGGATCCTTGAGGCGAACTTCCAGCAACTCCAACCTCAGTGCGGGTCTTCATACGACGGGCACCCTTTACATACACGCATGCAGATGTAAACATGCACGGATATAGACTTCCTTTCTTCATGTGAAGGAAGTACATAGTCATTGTTAAAAATCCAGAAAACTAAGTGAAGCGTGAAATTAAAATAGACCCCCTGTCCTGATTTTTATTATCTTGAAATCCGCCTTTTCAGACGTACCCTGTGTATATAACAGAGCTATAGAAATGTATTGTAACCACAATGCCCTTTTCAGGTGACAGGATGCCACAGACACATTTCCCTGTCCATAAGTGCAGCCCTTACAGGCAGTTTGAAAGGCTGCTGAGGGGCGAGGAGGGCTTGTGTTGCGGGGGAGGGGGGTGTGTGTATGGGGGTGGGGGTGGGTGGGTGGTGGCCATCAAAGCTCCCCACAGCTGTTGCTTTACCTCCCTCCCCAGCAGGCTCTTTAATGTGGAGATTGCTAATGGGCTCTTCCGGGGCGGGGGTGGGGGGGTGTTACGAGAACAAGCAGGTCTGCTAAGCAGCTGCCCCCAGTGCTGGTGACCCAGGCCCACTCTGGCCCTGTCTTCCTTTTTTTGTTGGTTGTGTGTGGGGAACTCCAGGTGAGCATGGGGCCAGGTCTCGATCACGCCCCGAGACCCCACCTTCTGTCTGGTCCCCACAGGAGTTGGCAGAGCTGCAATCCCAAATCTCGGACACGTCCGTGGTGCTGTCCATGGACAACAACCGCTCCCTGGACCTGGACGGCATCATCGCCGAGGTCAAGGCCCATTACGAGGACATTGCCAATCGCAGCCGGGCCGAGGCGGAGTCCTGGTACCAGACCAAGGTGTGTGGCCACTGGGAGCACAGTTCCTTCTCTTGGTGGGAACTTGGCGGCATGGAAGCTTTCTTTACTCCTCAGCCTGTCTCAAGCCTTTAAGGCCTGGGCCCCACTAGCAGGCAGCAGCATTAATCTGTGGTGCTATCCAGCGCCCAGAAAGAAGAGGATGCAAAGGCCACGTCCCTGACCTGAGGAAGATCCTGGTCTCGTGGGGCGCGGGGCAGAGGACGTGGACACGGATTAATAGTTACAGTAGCTACAGTTTGGCAGGTGCTCATAAGACTAGGGGCTGTTTCAGACGTTTTACCTGCACTGACTCATTTAACCCATAGAACAGCCCGATTAGGTAGACACTGTTATTATCCCAATTTTACAGATGAGGAAATAAGGTACAGAGAGGTTCAGTAATTTTCCTAACTCCACACAGCTATAGATGGAAGAGCAGGGCCTGGATTGTGGGTCCTAGGACTAGTCAGGGAGGTTGAATCATTACATGTGTGCATGGAATCAGGGCAGCTGACTGGGGGTGGGGGAGGGGTACTGGGGTCAAATAGCTCTCTGGGGAGGGAACCTGAGGCAGCATTTAAAAATAGCCTGCAAGGATGCCTCCTGGAGAGAGGGAGTTGTGAGAACTGGGGGTGGGGGGTGGGGTCACTGACCTGGAGAGCTGAGTTCAGGCTCTTGGTCTTGCATTCACTTGCTGTGTGATCCTTGGTGCCTTCCACCAACTGGGTGTGAGGTGGATGGTGCTGGCGAGGGGTGTTTAACGAGTGAGGATCTCAGACTTGGGACATGATGGGGATGGGGAGTCGCACATCAGTGGTGCTGGGCCCCAGGGGGCCATCCCTGTGCTCCCCATCTGGGCTTGGAGGAAGCTGGGCACCCCCCGCCCACTGCTCAATAGCCTGATGTTCTGGCGTAGGGCAATGATGCCGGGGTCGGCAGGCCCTTCCCTGGGAAGAGCAGACGGGAGGCTGGTTGCTCAGAACCTTGGGCCTTTCTTGGCTAGGGAGAGGGAGCGGCCACTGTCGCTGCCCACCCCCTGCCATGCTTCTCCGTGTGATCCTTCCAGTTTGAGAATCTCCAGGCCCAGGCAGGCAAGCACGGGGAGGACCTCAAGAATACCCTCCACGAGATTTCGGAGATGAACCGGGCCATCCAGAGACTGCAGGCTGATATCGACAACATCAAGAACCAGGTGGGGACAGACCCTCCGCCTCGCTCCGCCTGACTCCTTGGGCCTGTGATGGGCATCCTCTGAGGCCAGCTCAGAATGTTTTTGATCAGGCCCTGGTTCAGGCCGGAGGGAGGAGGCAAGTCTTAGCTGGGCTGGCCTGTCAATGAAGAACTACCATCCAGCACCAGATTGGTACTGATTAGCAATAGCTGCTCCAGGCACCTGCTCTGGATGCCTTAGGCTGGACCTGGGAGCTTATGGTCTGTGGGACATGAGGCACAGAAGCAGCAGGAGCCCCTGCTGTGGCTCCCAAGGCTCTGTCCCCTCCCCTGACCTCAGTTTCCTACACACCCTCCCTCCTGAGCTCTGGCCACACCGGCAGGCCTTCCAGGTCTTGTCTGCTAAGCACGTTCACGCTTCAGGGCCTTTGCACTTGGTCTTCCCTGCGCCTGGAATGTGGTTCACCCAGCTCTGCCCATGGCTGTCCCTTTCTCATTCCTGGGATTTAGGGCAAAAGGCCCCGTCTCAGAGATGGCTGCTCTACCAGTCTGTCGGAAGTGCTGAAAGCACCTGTCGTTAGCTGAAGTTTTGTCTTATTAAGTAAGGTGATGACTGTCCCCCACCTCTGTGGAATATTAAAAATGCGTGGTGAGCAGGGCCCCTCTGTCTGCCTCACTCTCCTCTGTTCTTGGCGCCTGGCACGTGGCTGGGGCACAGGTGTCAGACGGGCTGCTGGGAGGGTGTACGTGAAGCAGGGTGGGGTGCCGCTGAGGAGGGATCTCCAAGCCCTGGCCGAGGCACAGGGTTGGATGGAGCAGCCAAGCCTGAGCAGGTGTTTGTCTTGGGGTGCAGGGAAGGTGACACGCACAGCAGCTTCAGGGCGATAATTTCCAGATGAGCTGGGGGATGGGATGTGGGGGTGATTTATCCAGTGGTGTCCTTCCCTGGGATCCCTGCAGGCCTGTTTGTACCAGGGCCTGTTTGTACCAGGCCTCCTGGCACAGAGGCAGGGCCGTGAGTCACCTGTGAAGTGAGCCAGCTTCCAGGCCGGGAGGGGAAAGTGATGAATGGCAGTTTCCTAAATATGCAGCTTCTGCCACCTCCAGTTTTCTCCTATAGCAGGATGGAGCAAGACCCCAGAGTTAGGGTATCTACCACCCCTGCCACTGGGGATGGCGGTGGGGGGATCCCTGGACAAGGGGCAGAGAGTATTAGAGGGAGGGCCGGATGGGGAGGCAGCGGGCGTGAGCTGAAGGGAAGGGTGGAGGGCAGAGAATGGTGGGCAAGAAGAAAGGAGAGGAAGCATCCTGCAGTGGATGACGCAGCTTCTGGGCTGAACAAGAGGAGGCCTGGGACTAGATTGGCACCTGATTGTGGGGGGGATAAGCCACCCCCAGTGGAGGGAATGCTGAGACTGGACCCGAAATCATGCATTTTGAGTCTGGAGGTTCCAAGCAGCATCTCTTTGCTCCACATGCCCCTGTTCTGGACCTGCTCCAAATTCAGTCTTATTTTTGAAGGTAGTTTTTGGTGCTTGTCAGCTGCCAGAAATTTGGCCGCTCAAACTAGGACCTATGGCCTTGGGGAGCTCCTCTAGCTAAAGCTGAGGTCTGGGCACTTGTAAATCATAATAACCTTTATTAATAATGGTAATCATAACAGCACTTGTTAAGTACTCCCTATATTCTAGACTCTGGGCCAAGGACTTGTGCATTATTTTATTTAGTCCCTGCAATATTCCTATGGTTATTGCTATTTTAGAAAAGAGGAGACTTTGGCTTAGAGAGTTGATTCACCCAAGGTCACACAGCTAGAAAGAGGAAGAGCCAGGAAGAGCCAAGAGTCAGCATTGGGCATCAAAACCCATGTTTTTAACCCCTGGGATTCCTTGGTGCTTGGGGGAGTAGGCTGGTGCCTGTACAGCTACCACAGCAAGTTACTCAGGAGCCACTGCAGGATGGGGCAGCAGGAAAGGCAATGACTGGGGAGGCCCAGCCCCGGCTCACAGCCCCACTGCTGCCCACAGCGAGCCAAGCTGGAAGCTGCCATTGCCGAGGCCGAGGAGCACGGGGATCTGACACTGAAGGATGCTCACGCCAAGCAGGAAGAGCTGGAGGCCGCCCTGCAGCGGGCCAAGCAGGACATGGCGAGGCAGCTGCGCGAGTACCAGGAGCTCATGAACACCAAGCTGGCCCTGGACATCGAGATCGCCACCTACCGCAAGCTGCTGGAGGGCGAGGAGAGCCGGTGAGGACAGGGCAGCTGGGAAGGGGATCCTTCCCAGGTTCGCCCTTGGGCCTAGGCCTCCATAGTCATTCACTGACAAGAGCTTTCTGTGTACCCTCTTTTGCAGGGCATTGGGGGTGGGACATGCAGGGAGGGTTTCACTGATGCTTCTTTATCCTTGAAGAGATGACCTTTTAGAAGGAAAGACCATGTGGTGTAAAGTTCAGGTATTAAGAGTCCCTTCGTGTGTGTGGTCATCAGCAGAGTCATCTAACTTGATCCTCAGAACACATTCAGGTGAACCAGTCAGGTAGTACAGATTCCCTAATCTGCAGAGGAAAATTTGTGGGTCAGTTTAATGGAGGGGGTGGGGCCAGTGTGCAGTCACTCTCTGCTGATCCTGGTCCAGCATCTTCCATGATGCCAGGCTACTTCTCACTACATAAAGTGCTAAGCTATGCGGGCTTGACTGTGGTGGAGGAGGTTAATTTCCCCCTGTCTCCAGAGATATTTGCTTACTCACCAGCCAGAGAGGAGGCTGGAAAGGGTGGGTAAGTCTTACAGGGAATTTTTCACAAAAGAAATATGTCTATGATGTTGGGCCTTCATTCTCAATTTGATGGGCTTGTCATTTGTTCAGTCAACAGACAGGGCTTTGGAGTTGCACCTTGGGGAAGTTTAGAATTTGGAGACAGTGAGAGGTAACAGTGTGAAAAAAGGCTTAGAAGGAGAATGCAAGACTTGGCTTGTTGGAGCCCAACACAGAATAGGTCATGCAAATTGGAAATTGGTAAGGCCTATTGATCCAGGAGACAAACATCTGTGCAGGTAGCTCAGAGATCTGTCCCTTGCATTTGCAAAATGCTGAGTTTACAAAGGGATGGAGAGAGGACCGGGACCTGGGCCCTGATGATAGCAACCTGGACAGATCGGGCTTTCAGGCAATGTCTCTAATGGCTGTGAGCTTGGGACCCCACCCTGAACTTCCGCTTCATCCTGTCCATGGAGGAGGTGGGCCAGGTCCCACACTAGAGGCCTGTTTTCTGAGTTTTTCCTCAAGGGGTTGGGGAGAGGGAACTCGGGATGAATGGAGTGGAGGGGAAAGAATTGGAGAACAGGGAATCCTCAGGGCAGAGCCTGGATGTTGGGTTGCAGCAGCATGTGAATTGGTAAGAGAGGTAGGAGGGAGAGGAAGGTTCTCAGCTGCTGCAGTTGACCTGCCCCCTCCCTAGGTTGGCACTTAGTTTTTGTGCAAAAAGGGGTTGAACATCAAAGGCCTCTGGGATGAGAGAGCAGCTGATTTGGGGCACAGAGCAGCCCCAGAGCTCAGCTGGCCCAGCTGAGATATCTCTTTCTGCACCATCCTCCACCATGGACGGGTCCTGCTTTCTTGGGAACACACACACCGTGGGTCTCTTTTCTCACAGAAGTCAAAGCTGAGAGGCCTCTAGCGTGGGACCTGGCCCACCTCCTCCATGGACAGGATGAAGCGGAAGTTCAGGGTGGGGTCCCAAGCTCACAGCCATTAGAGACATTGCCTGAAAGCCCGATCTGTCCAGGTTGCTATCATCAGGGCCCAGGTCCCGGTCCTCTCTCCATCCCTTAGATGCCCAGAGGTGGACACCTTTTTTCTTTTCCTTAGCCCCTCACCCTTCCCAGGGACAGATGCAGGGTTTGTGGTTTCGGAAGCTCATGCAATTTGGAGGGACTTTCCAAATTACAAAGTTACAAAAATAAAATTAGGCATAAAAGCAAATATTTATTTAGAATGAGAGTAGAAAAATATAAACCACAAGAGTCCTAGACATTCAGGAACCTTCCTTCTGAGTTCTTGAGGCATTGTGCCAGACATTCTTAGGTGGCACTGCTGCCCTATTGCAGCTTGGCTTCCCTCCCCACCCATGTCTGCAAGTGACTCCCTACACGTGCCAGAGGCTTATAAGGGGCCTGGAAGCTTCCTAGCGTACCCATGTACTCTCCTTGGCCTCTGCTCTGCCCCCTTCCTGGGCTTGGGGCAACTGAGGCCAGCTGGGTTTTCCTTACTGCCTCCACCAAAGTGAGGTGTCCCCTCCTCCCTCAGAGTAAACTCATCCCCAAGGCCAAGGGCTTGGTGACAATGGGACTGTGAGTCACAAAACAAACACACCCAGATGTCTCAGATGGATTTTTAATTTCCAGGGCAAGACCTGTTTCAGTCCCACAGGCAGCTTAAAGCCACCCCACCTACCTACCCTCTCCCTTCTTATCCCAGCTGGAGCTAAATTCACTCAGTCAACAATTTGCTGATTATTTCAACACACATTAAGTAATAACTAGTGTCAGACCTGTGCTAGGGGCTGGAGGTACAGGAATCAATATGCTGCAGCCCGCTTTTAGGATTTTATGATCTCGTGAGGGGACGCACCTGACTACATAAATAATAAAAGCAGCTTCCGTGTTTGGAATCTTTGCATGCCTAGGGCTTTGGGTAAATTATGTTATTTAATCCTCACAAACAATCCTGTGAATTAGTCCTGAGTTAGGCGCCATTTATTGGTGAGGAAATGAATGCTCTGAGATAAAGCCCAGACTTACAGGTAGGTAGGAGGGCCTAAGTGACCCCCACCCCCGCCCCTGGCTCATGTTGCTGAAGGAAGGCTGGAAGTGGGGGGCACAGAGGAAAGAACACTCATCCTGCTTGGGGGAGGGTGCCAGGACTGCTTCCTCTAGTGAAGAGGAAAGAGCCGCCCTCACAGTTCTCTCCTCTGCCCTCCAGGTTGGCCGAAGATGGGATGGGAAAATTGAAACTCTGTAAGTCCTTGGCTGGGGCCCTTACCCTGCATGGCCCAGGCTAGGCGGGCTCTCTGGGATGGCACGTTGGCCTGAGGACCCTGCTTTGTGAGGGCCGGGAGCCTCTTTCCCTTCAACAGCTTCCAGCAGGCGCTTGGAGCGCCCATTCAGCCAGGCCCAGGTGGGGCCGGGCACCTGTGTGGCAGGCAGCCCCCACCACCGTCCCAGGCTCCCTTGGGGCAGAAGGCTGGAGGAGTGGCCCGTGGGGGGAGGGGCAGCTGCAGCAAGAGGGTGGGGGTGGAGTGGAGGGATGGGGCTTCCGGTGGGGTGCCTCTGCTGATGGAGCACTTCTCCCGTCTCTTCCAGCTGTGCAAACCACTAGTGGCGCTGGCAGCAGGCTCACCTTCGGAGGAACCATGGGCACTAATGCCCTGAGCTTCTTGAGTGGCGGGGGGCCTGCGACCCGCAAGACCCTTTCTTCCAAGACCACCTCTGTCACCAGCTGGAATGCCCACAGCTGAGCCCAGTTGAGGGAGACGCACACCCTCCTGCCACAGTCACGGGAGGAAGCTCTTCCCTCTCACCCCTGGCCCCAAGACGGCACGGCAACTCGAAAAATGATGTCAGAAGAGACCCCAATAAAGCAGCCTCTTTGAGGCCTGGGTGAGCTCCGTGCCCTGTGCCTGGTATCCTGGCTTCATTCGGTGGGGTGGGGAACGGGGGGAGACTACTCTCCCCCTAAAAAGCTGGGTTTGCCCCCGGAACTGGGAAGCCTCTCATGCAGGAGACTGCGAGGGAAGGTTGGTGCTATGGGTGCTGCTCCAAGGAACTTGATTCTGATCCGGTGTGAGGCCCTGGCTGCCTCCCAGGGGCTGATTCCAGTCCCTCTCCCGAGAAAGCCAAGAAACACTCCAGGGAAGCTCTGGCTCTGCCAAGAAGTGAGCAAGGAGGCATCTCCTGCTGAGGGTGGGGGGAGCTGTTTGTACACCCCCCCTTGTGCTGCCAGAGCACATTCTTTGGTGGTGAGAGGCAGCAAACATTCAGCTGCCCCAGGCCTGGGTTTCGGGTGGACCAGCCAACTCAGACCAGCTGCCCACAGTCCTTCCTGGTGCCGGCTCTGTGAGCCGCGGGGCCTAGAAGGGGGTCTCTGAGTCTGGGATTCTGTGATGGGGGTGATGGGGGAGGAGGTCTCTGTTTGCTTGGAAGAGGGCTAGGGTGAGGGGGGCGCCGTGCCTGGGCGTTAGGGCTGAGGGAGGCCCTGCATCTGGATGGGGGTCAGGGAGGACATCTCTGTGTTAAGTCTGTGCTTGGTGGGGCCTCTGTGTGTCTGGGTCTCTGACCAGGGCCTGTCCGAGGGTGCCCCATGCTTGGGGTATCTATTCCTGATAGCAGCAGCAACCAGGGGAGAGGGGGGAGGTGTTTGTGTCTGGAATAGCAGGGGCTGGAGGCGGTGGCCGTGGTACCTCAGACAGCTGGCTTTTGGGAGAGGGGAGTCTGTACTTGCTTCCCTGGCAAGGATTTTCCTGTGTCGAGGTGGGGTGGGCTGGCGGAGTGGCCCCTGGTGTCCCAGCAGCTGCAAGTGAGGAAGCTGCCACTCAAGGTTTTGGGGGGCTGGGCCCTGTCCCTCTCTGGTAAGACTGTGCCGATGCCCTTCTCAGACCCCTTCCAGCACTGCTTCCTGCTGCTGTGAGGCACAGCTCTGGGGCTGTGGGCACCGTGCCCTGCACCCGGGGCAAGGGAGCCTCAGAGACAGCTGAGAACAGTGCCTCTGCACACTTCCAAGAGAAGGGGCAAATAAGGGTGTCATGGGACTCACGTGCAGAGACCAAAAGGAAGATTCTCAGAGCACAGTTGTATAGGAACCGTGAGCTTTATTGGCAACATGAAGACCAAGCATGAGAAGAGACAGAGGTAGCTGGGCAGCTGAGCAAGAGTTGGCCCCTGGGAGGGGAAGCCGTGGTCACCAGGAGTCATGGGCTTAGAAGGCAGGAGAGGCCCCCCGGGGCCAACCCGTCCCTTGGCAGCCTGAGTCCCCAGAGTCAGGATGGAATCTTTGCCAAGGGCTGTAAAGAAACCATTGAGACACTTGGGGATGGGGCAGAGGTACCAGGCGTGTGGGCCAGCAGCCTGGTCCTCACTGCAAGAAATGAAGTGCCGAGCGAGGAGCTGAATGCAAGAGAGAAGGCCGCAGTGTGGGCCGGTGAAGCCCCTCCGTATCAAGTTCAGGAGTTTTCTGAGCTGGGGACCTGCCTCCATCTGCAGGGAGGTTGGCTGGCTGAAGGGCGTGTTTGCAAAGCAGGAGGCACTACGCAAATCGCACGGAGCGGACGCTGCCACAGCTCTGGACGGGCGCGCAGGGGGCGCACATGCCAGTGCTCACTGCCAGGTTCCCGCTGCAGGGCGCGCTGCAGACGCTGCCGGTCACCGGCCGGGAGCCGCACACAGAGAGGTCCCCGCAGACGACCCCGCCTCGGGAGCTGCTGACACCTGCGGTGGTGGAGGGGAGAGGGGTAGAACTGGCCTTAGTGCCTATGGGAGCTTGTCAGGGGCCCCTGCTTGCTGCCAGAGCCCCTTTCTCTTGCTCAGAGTCCCTCCCCCTCACGTCGACCCCCCATCCCCACCCCTGCTGGCTCCCTCTCCCCCACCCCCAACTCCCTCACACTGGGCCTTTATCCTGCAGTCTAACCTTAGTATCTTTGGTAAATGGTTAGCCCAGGCCCTCCCTATAGGTAGAAGTAGCTATTTATCATCATCTTTCAGTGCCACACCCCTTCCTTCCTTTAAGTTCTTCAAGCTAAGGCCCTCATGGCTTTCTGTTTTTGTAAATAAAGGTTTACTGGCCCCAACAACCTTACTCATTAAGTATTTCTTATGGCTGTGGCTCCTCTCAGTTACAAGACAAAGCTGAGTAGTTCAGACAGATGCTGCTCACCTCCAGGAGCCTGAAATATTTACTAGCTGCCCTTTCAGGAAAATGTTCTCTTGCCTGGAACCCCAAGTCTTTATTTCCAAAGTAACAACATAGACATGGATTACTTACAGACATTTACAGCAGCAACGCCCTCACACAGCCTTGTGGGGAGCAAAGAGACAATGATTAGTTACAGGGAGCAAAGCTTGTAAATTTCTTCTCCAATAAATTTTAATGCAAGTTAGATGCAAATAGTGTGCAAACGTGCTCAACACAGTTTGGGGGAGATTAAAGAGTCATCCTCCCACAGGTGTGGGCCTCACCTCTGCTCCTCGCCCTCCAGCAGGCGCCTGTAGGTGGCGATCTCGATGTCCAGGCCCAGCTTGGAGTTCATCACCTCCTGGTACTCCTTGAGCAGGCAGGCCATGTCCTGCTTGGCCTTCTGCAGGGCTTCCTCTAGGCCTGCCAGCTTGGAGCGGGCGTCAGCGAGGGCGGCCTCGCCCTGCTGCTCAGACTGGCTCACGGCGGCCTCCAGCTTGGAGTTCTGGGGAGAAGGGGGGATTATGGAAGGAGCAAGTGAGTTTAGTTTCCTGAGATCCTAGTCACTTCTATCCTGGAAGTTATTTCTCCTGTTAGCTTGCTACCATCCTACCTCACTTCCTCCAACACACACACACACACACACACACACACACACACACACACCCCTATGCCCACTGAATCAGGAAAGTCACAGCAGGCTTCTTCACTCTTCTGTCACCTGTGAGACTGCACTTAACTGAATCTCTTGGAAGACTTTTCCAGAATCTAACCGAAATCCCTCTGCTGCAAGCTGACCCTAGCCTCTTCCTGCACCCAGGGTGGGCTCGCCGGTACCTGGCACTTGGCGTTCTCCACCTCGGCCGTCAGCCTCTGGATCATGCGGTTCAGCTCGTTGATCTCCTCCTTGGTGCGGCGCAGGGTCTCGCCGTGGCGGATCACCGTGGCCTTCATCTCCTCGCACTGGGGGGGGCAGAGGCAGGGAGGCTCAGGGCACGTTACCCCTGTGAGCCCCACAGCTTGCCCACCTGCCTCCCATCTCCCTAGCTGGAGGCGGGCGCCCTCCAGAGACCCTCCTGCGGGGTTGGGGGGCCCTGGTGCCCACCTTGGTGCGGTACCAGCTCTCGGCCTCGGCCCGGCTGCGGCTGGCGATGTCGTCGTACTGAGCCTTGATCTCGGCGATGACGCAGTCCATGTTCAGGTCCCGGCTGTTGTCCATCTTGACGACCACCGAGGTGTCTGAGATGTGGGCGTGGAGAACGCGGATCTCCTGTGTGTGGGGGGGTGTGTTAAGAGCTTCTCTAGTAGCCCCACTTTCAACGCCTGCTCTCTCATGATGTTCCCTGTCCTCTCTCTGCTCCTTCACAGCCACTGTCGGAGGCCCCACCCTCCAAGGTAAAGTTCAGTGTTCTGGAGTGCTGAGGTTTCCAGAAGCCCATGGCTGAGACCTGCTGCCTGGCTGCAGTCAGGGCCGCTGCCTCCAGCTTTGGGTGTAGGACCAGAGGTTTCTAATTTGCGATAATTATGACCATGGTAACCAGGGACCCCAGCTTGTTTGGGACATGTCAGATGAGCTCTCAAGTTAAACTTCCTTCACTTTCTGACAGTAAATCTGACTCGGATCTCTCAACTCCCCTCAGCACTGCCCCACTCAAGGGGTTCAGGAGCCAGAGGATGGCCAGTCCTTCCTAGTGTCTAACTCACATCCTCCTTGCTGCCCCACTGCCCCATCGGCCCTCACCTCCTCATACAGTCGCCGCAGGAAGTCGATCTCCTGGGTCAGGGCCTCCGCATTGGCCTCCAGGTCTGATTTGCGCAGGTAGGCGCAGTCCACATCCTGAAGGGGAGAATGAGCACAGGGTTTCACCGGGGAGACAACAGGGAGCTCTACAAAATAGGGTGGGGTGGTACCCCAGGGGCTGGCATCATGGTCTTGGTGAAGCACTCCATGCAGTTAAGGGGACAGGAGTAGGTCTGGGTAAGGATGGGGGAGTCCCAAGGTTCCAGACACTTCCTCTGGGGTGCAGTGGATTGATTCCTCTAGAATCTCTTACACTATCACTGAAAACCTAGGCTCTAGTGTCAAATGATCTAATTCAAATGATTCTCCTCCCCCTCTGCTCTAGAATTGCATGGAAAAAAATCTAGATGGGTGGTGAGAAGAAGAGGTGTTCAGGATCAACTCTGTCTTGCAAGCTAGTGTGACTCGGGGCAAGACGCTTGACCTCTGGGCCTCAGCTGCCTGCCTCCAAGGGACGGGCTCGGGGATCCGCTGAGAGTCGGAGTGATGGGGCCTGTGCAGGGCCAAGTGTTAGAGCTGAGGAACAGGGCGTTGTTCACCCCAGCACCTCCCTGTTGCGGCCCAAGGAGGGAGCTGTCTCCTGGGCCCTGCTCTTTCATTTGCAAGTCTCTGTGGAGTGCCCACTGCCTGCCAGGCATGTGGTAAGTTGGCGGGAAGACATGGCCAGAGGAAGGTACCGTGGAAGGGGAAGAATGTTGCCCTGCCTGAGGCAGGCAGTGTGCACTGATGTTGGGGTGACCAGGGAGCACTGGCGCATTGGGGAGAGAGGTGGGGGAGAGGCTGTGCTGTGTGATTCCGGGGAAGTCTCTCAGCCTTTAAGTCCCTCCTGCCTCTGCCCTCCGTTCTGAGTTGTGGGAGGTCACACACCTTTTTCAGGGTCACAAATTCATTCTCAGCTGTGGCCCTGAGTGCCACCTCCTCTTCATACCTGGGGACAAAGGGTGCAATGTTGAGTAGCCAGTTGAGAAAGAAAAGAGAATGAAGGCCCAGACAGACACATTCAAGGAACGGGGTCTTTGGAGGAGGCAAGAAGAAAAAACTGTTGGACTAGGAGATACTTTGTCCCTCCCTTTCCTCTGGACACTCAAGCAACCCATGTCACTGAACACGCTTCCAGTTTCAGAGACTCATTTCCTGGGGCGGGGTTGGGGACAGGGTGGGTGCCATGAGCTCTTCATAGGCCTTTCTGGATTGTAACTCTCTGGGGGCAGGATGCCTGCCCTAGCTCTGCTCACCCCCTCTCCCTGCCCCCTATTTTCTTACCCCCATCCTACACAGGGCCCAGCATTACAGCTGGAACACAGAATCGATGATCAACAAGTGATGCATTCATGAAATAAACGCATCCTGATGAGGGAACCTGAACAGCTCAAATTCTCTCCAGAGCTGAAACCCCCAAGTCAGAAAAGAAAAACTTTTGCCACAAAATTTTGTCCCTGTCATTGTGTTCTTCCTGCTGGAAGCTTCTTTTTAAGGTCCAACCTAACTCTATCGCTGTGACTTAGCCCCTCTCCTCTGCCCAAGCCCGCCTCCTAGGCACTCACTTCTTCCGGTAGCCCTCCAGCACCTCCTGCACGTGGTTGAGCTCGGCGGCCAGGCGCCCGCTGTCGGCCTCCACGCACTCGGCCTCCCGCCTCAGGGTCTCGATGTAGCCGTTGAACAGGGGCTCCAGGTTGCTCTCGCAGCACTGGCGGTTCTGGTAGAACTGCCACTTGGTCTCCAGCAGCTTGTTCTGCTGCTCCAGGAAGCGCACCTGGTATGGCAGTGAGAGGAGAGTTGGCGGGGGAGCCAGGACTCCCAGCCTTCCTCGGAGGAGGCAGAGCAAAAACAGAGAGTTGTGCAGAGGCCAGGCGGTGGAGGGCAGGGCGCGGCTGGGCTCTCCAGGCTTGTGGACACACTGGGAGAATGCTTGGCTCGTGATTGCTTGCTCAGGCTCAAGGAGGTCTGACCGGGTGGGGCTGGATTAGAAGTGTGAGAAACCAGGGGCCTGTGCTGGGTTACTGTTGGGCTGGGAGGACAGGTAGGGGTTGAGGACAAGGACAATCAGGAAGGCTTCTGGAGGAAAGGAATGGAGAGCAGGGTTGGGAGGGATAAACTAGGATGAAAGCCTTTTACTATGAGCTCTCCAGGGCGGGGCCTGTGGTTTATCTCTCTGTGTCCTCAATGGCAAGCCTGGGACTTGATGAGCAGTTGTTTGAATGGATGGTCAAGGAGGGCAAAGGGATTCCTAGGGGAGGTGGGAGAGAGGGGAGTGGCTGGAGCCAGAGACATGGGCGGCAGGTGGGGTGTGGTTCGAGGTGGCCTAAATTCCTGTATTGGACACTCAGATGTCTCTGAAGGCCAGGCAGGAAATGTGAGTAGGGGAAGGTTTTGGAAAATAGGGAGGGTGAGGACTGCAGAGAAGAGAGGCTTGCGAGCCTTTGCTGGACGTCAGTCACACTGGGGAGATGCCATGGCAACAGCACATTGCACTGGCCAGAAAGGATGTCAGCAAACAGGACTAGCGCCTCCTGGCCTCCAGTTGTCCACTTCTCATACATTTCAGTTGGCATCAGATGTTCTTTGCCTTTTCGCGTTGGTATCCCTCCCCCACCTAATGAGCGCAGCTAGGAAATCCCAGGTTAGCACCTCCAGAAACGGGGGATGGGCATTGCTGATGTTGTCTGGGATAACTTTAGGTGGCCTTAGCTGACAGGGCTTGAGCGGTGGTGGGGTCTCATGGCTACCATGGCCCCCATGTTTTAAAGTCCTGTCAGCTCATTCCCGCAGCACACACAGCTCTGGGGAGAATACTGGGATTGAGAGGACGAGCCACTGCCCAGTGTCACACAGTATTGGTGGATGCATGGATGTGGCCATCAGGCGGCCTCCTCTGCTCCCTGGACACCAGCACTCAGGGCACAGTGTGCTGGAGGGGCACAGGACAGGAACCCCAAACTTTGGGCCCCCTAGCCTTAGGGGTCTGGAGAGGTTGAGTCTGGGCTTGGAGTTCTGCCCGACCAGCCATTCTCGGGGGCCCTTAGGTGGACCACTGGCCTGTAGCCCTGTCTCCTTTCTCTTAGGACCAGACTAGCGGCAGCGATTCTCAAATGTCAGCCCTTCCCAGGCTGATGTCAGGATTTTCTCATCCCCAAGTGCTATTTTACTCATGACATTTACACTTAAATGGTATTAAAGAGTAAGTTTATATTACCACCATAGTTGTAAAACCCCTATCACTAGGCATGCATAAAGGAAATAATAGAACATTAAATTTAGCTAAAATTGTTACCCCAGACAACTCTGAACAGTTCTTTACCCAACACTCTCTTATTAAGTCTTAATTCCTTCACCCTCTTAATTAAAAGTAGGAGAGCAGTGAGTACTAGAGAGAGGCTAAAGACATAGGAGCACCCAAGGAGATGTTCTCCATCTGATAGAGGGCTTGAGACAGGAAAGGAGATAAATGTTCTCAGTAGGTGTTTCAGTGTTAATGAATGCCTTTTGTCTGTACCACCTAAAATAATCACATAACAGATCAGCAGTCACACTCCCCATTCCTAGAGACTGGCTCAGCTTCTCCCAGGACTTCCAGGGTGCAGAGCGACCTCCCGGAGGTTATACCTGGTAACAGCCCTAAACACTGGGAGCCGCGCCCTCCTGGATGTCTGAGCTCTGCAAATCTGTGCATCAACTCGGATCAGACCAGGAGCTGGCCCGGCCCCCACCCCCCGTCTCTGACTAGCCCTTCAGTGCCTTGCAGAGGAAAAGGCATTCAGGAAGGGTGTGATCAAGGACACCCACCTTGTCGATGAAGGCAGCAAACCTGCTGTTGAGGCACTTGATCTGCTCCTTCTCCTCATGCTTCACACCCTGCGCGTTGGGGTCGATCTCCAGGTTGAGGGGGGTGAGCAGGCTCTCGTTGACAGACACGGTGGTGATGCAGGGTGGGCTGGGTCCGCACACGCCCCCGGAGCGGTACCCGAAGCTGCTGCCGCAGGAGCCGGCCCGGAAGCCCCCGCAGACGCTGCGGCTGCCGAAGCCCCCGGCGAGGCCGCGGTAGCAGGAGACGCCGCGGTAGGGGGCGGCGGTGATGCAGCAGCGGCCGGGCCGGGGCCCGCAGGCCGAGGCGCAGCTGAAGGCTCCGGGGCGAGACGAGAGGCAGGGCATGGCGAGGCGGCGGCGAAGTCTGGACTGGACCCCGAAGCCGGCGCTGCGCCTTATATCGCGGCCAATGGCCCGGGGAGGGAGCGCGCGGTCAAGGCATTTACGAGCTTGGGGTCGGGCTCGCGCCTGGTCGGGCGGGGAATCAAAGCGGGCCGGGTCGCCCCCATAAAACGGCGTTCGCCTCCTGCCCGCGCTTTATGGAGCAGGGAAGGGCCGGGTCAGCTCGCAGCCGGAGCGCGGCGGGCCCCTGGGCGCGCCCCTCGGCTGGGCGTGCTGGGCCGCCGGCTCCGCAGCAGGCTGGGCGCGGGGCGCACCCGCCCTCTGGCCCCCCAGCACCGCCCCGCAGCCCCGCGAGCCTTGGGCTTGGAAGCAGACTCGCCTGTGTGGAGAGGGAGGGGTCCCTGAAGCCAGGCTGGCAGGTGCACCTCATGACCTTGGACAAGTGAATAACTTTCCTGAGCCTCAGTTTCCTCATCTGCAGAACAGGAACCATAACAACCCGAGAGCTGCTGGGCGGAGCTAATGAGATAGTGCAGGAGAAAGCAGTTAGGGCCCTGGCTCGCACTTAGTAAGCGCTCCGTAAATGTTTGTTTGTTTGTTCTGTGCTACTGTGATTAATTTGTCACTCCTCGTCCTGTCTCTCTTTGGGCAAAGACTTTCTCTTCTCTCTTATTCAGAACTCAGCTCCTATCGCCTCTCCTACTAAGTGTCTTGCCAGCTCCTCTCTGACCTCTAACTAGTCCTCCCTAACTAGTCCTCCCTGATCTCCCAGCCCAGCTCCCTATACCCCTCAGCACCCTGCTCAGGGGAGGGCAGAGATTGCACTTAGGTGGTGCCTACGATGTTCAGGGGCTTAAAAATTGTGCTGTAGTTGAGGTCAGTAGTATTGCTGCGCCCATTTACTTGATCAGGAAGGAGGGCTCAGGGCGGTCCAGTGACTTGTTCAAGGCCAAGCATGGGAGGCTCCATAAAGGGGCCCAGTCAGAATCTGAAAGGCGGCTCCCAGCGCTTCCCCATGCCAGTCCCTGGCAGGGTCTGAGCCTGTGCTGACTGAGCTGAATTCTTCTCCCAGGGAGGAGTGTAGACTGCCAGGCTTTGGGATCTTAGAGAAATCAGACTGATCCAAAGCTTTTCCCTCAACCAATGCTTGGTCATGGCCACCAACTCTAAAAGGTCATCACCCATCATAAAGGAAGTTGCTTATGTGTCCAATTATCAGCAGAGGAAACCTGAGTGCAGTCAGTAGGCAGCATAAAAGAGAAACATGCAAATCAGCCTTGGCTTCCTTTGCTTTTAAATATGAGTTATTATTGTGCAAAGGGTAATTAAATCCTGGCACCGCAGAGGTCATCATGACTAGTAGCGCCTGCTTTGGGATGCCTGGCATCCCCTCACTTGCCTTTGCCAACACTGTCGTGCGCCTGGTATCCTAGAAAACAGGAGAACTTTGAAAAAAAACCTGGTGCTTACGGTCTACTTGAGGGAGGGAGTTTGTCTGGTGGGGTGTGGAATCGCAAAAGCGCATGGCAGGGATGGAGGGGGCAGGTTGGGGGTTTTAGCACAAGTGCAGCGAGAGCCACCTGGAGCTGCTCTTCAGTGGCTACACGGGGACGCTGAGGTGGAGGCTGAGTGCGTGGAGGCCGCCGGCGGGAGGCTGCGTGCAGAGGTGCTGGAGGGCACGGGAAGTGATTGTGGTGGTGGGGGGCCCACGTCGCTCAGAAGGGCTGACATGATGGGGCAGTTGGGAGCTGTGAGAACTGGCTTCACAGATTTTTTTCTTCTCTAAGCCCCTGTGTGCTTTCATCAGCTTTAAAGGCAGGACAGGGAAGCCCATGGAGACACGTGAAGCTAAGATGTCAGTTAAGGGCCTTTGCCCATTGTGCTATCAGCTCTGAGGACAGGCACTCTATCCTATCACCAGCCCCCCCCCCATGAACCCCTTCTGAGCGCTTACTGTGTTCCTCTGTTGTGCTAGGGATTGGGGGTACAGAGACCCACGCTACCTCTACTCCACCGCTCACACCCACTGGGGTGGTTGCTCGTCCCAGCCCCTCCCAGCTCTAAACCCGGGCAATCAGCTGGTGATGTTAGGGTAATGACACAACCAAGATCTTTAAAATGAATACTGTTTGTTACATCAGAGAAATTAGAGATGTGGGTGAGAGCGACGTTTAGACATGGGGAGAGGGAGATGCAGGAAAGGAATATTTCTGACTTCCTGGAAGGGATGTAACAAGTCAGGTTGAAGCGGTTGCTTCTCTGTTCTGTTCCTGGCCATATCTTTGAATAATCTCCCTTATTCAAATATTGTTATTTTCTGAAGATCTGCAGGGGAGGTTGCTCTGAGGCCATGGCAAAGAATGAGCTTGCTGGAATTAAGCAGGTGAGTAGGCCAGGGGCTAGGAATCCTGCAGGCCTCAGGGGCATCCTGTCCTCCCTCCTTCAGTTAATAAGCTCATATTTTATTCCCACCCACATAAGAGCATTTTCCTTCCCACACCTCAGAGGAGCCAGAGGGAAGGAATTCTCTGGATCTTTCTTCGCAGAGAGGCCCAGATTGCCGGATGAACTTTCCAAAGTAACACCCTCTATTTTGCTGGAGTTGGAAAGCTGAGTTCTCTGACCTGCGACTCCTGGACCTACAATTCTGACTTGCTTTGCAGTTGGGAATGATATTGGGAGTTCCCCAGGGCTGGGCTGGGGGAGGTGGAGTCCTCTGAAAAACTTCTGACACAAGTTAACTGTACCTGTGTGGCAGGGGAGACTCAGGGGCCAATGCCCACAGCCTGGAGAAGAGACCTGCTTCCTGCAGAACATGTGCCAGGAGGTGGGCACTGGCGGGGAATATATTAGTCATCTCCAATTTCTCTGTCTCAGGTCAGATTGTGTACGAAGGGAACAGAGAGATGCATGACCGAGGGCTGTGGAGAAGGTAGCTCTGTGTGTGTGTGTGCGTGTGTGTGCGCGCACACCTGTGTGGAGAAGCAAGCATGAGCTCTGTTCTGTCCGACTCTGTGTGGTGATATGAATGGTTATTAACCCCACAGGAAACGAGTCATCTAAAGCGACATCCAGACCCCTCAGTCATTGCTGAACGACTGGATCTGACGAGTACTCCATCGTGGCTGAGATCTGGGCTAACTATGATGACATTGCCGGCTATAAGGGGTCAAGGCCGAGAGCTGGTACCGCACCAAGGTGGGCAGCCCAGGACACGTGGCAGTGGGGGTTGTGGGGACTAGACTAGGAAAGGCTCCTTTGTCTAGGGACTCTGATCCCTGGTGGTGTAAGGGGACGCGGGCAGTCTCAGGCTGGGTGTCCTGGCGGGGCTGCCTCGTGTGGTTGCACAGGCTGAGCACTGTGCCGCCGGCGCTGTCACCCACGGAGTCCTGAGTGGGCAACATGTGCCTCTGAACCTCACTGGCTTCCGCTCCCCTCTCCCCCCAGTGCGAGGAGATGAAGGCCACGGTGATCCGCCACGGGGAGACCCTGCGCCGCACCAAGGAGGAGATCAACGAGCTGAACCGCATGATCCAGAGGCTGACGGCCGAGGTGGAGAACGCCAAGTGCCAGGTAAGCTCTCCGTGCCCTGGCCAGAGTGGCTGGGGTGACCCAGGCGGCAGTAGGTGCGTGTGCCAACCTGGAGCTCACCCTCGTGCTCACCATCAGCACAAGCAGAGTCCCCGGCTCTGGTCCCTCAGGGAGGCCCAGGTGACGCAGCCGAGTGGCCTGTTCCTGGCTAATCCCAGCTGGGAGGGAAACATGAGGCACTTGCAGCAAATGGACCCTGACCAGTGGCTCACACACCCTCTTATTCTCTTGTGGGCTCTCAGAACGCCAAGCTGGAGGCCGCCATGAGCCAGTCTGAGCGGCAGGGTGAGGCCGCCCTCAGCGATGCCTGCTGCAAGCTGGCAGGCCTGGAGGAGGCCCTGCAGAAGGCCAAGCAGGACATGGCCTGCCTGCTCTAGGAGTACCAGGAGGTGATGAACTCCAAGCTGGGCCTGGACATCGAGATAGCCACCTACAGGAGCCTGCTCAAGGGCGAGGGGCACAGGTGGGCGCTGCCCCAGATTTGGGTCAAAGCCTTGTTTGCATAGACCTCACCCATGTATTCGTGGCACAGCTCCTTAGCACCTATTTCTTCTGCTCCTGCTTGGAACTCCTGTGGGCCCTTCCCTTCCCTGAGGAGAGGCTAAGGACAATAGTCTTTATTGAGGTCCTCTCCCTGGTTTCTGGGGCTCCCTGCATGATTTAGTTAGGGACAGTGGCTTGTTGGTAAATTTTTAATAGTTGACTCTTTGAGGAAAAAAAAGCCCTGATTTATCATGCTTGTTGATTGCAGTGGTGTAAAATCTTCCATATTGCATGATTTAAGCTACCACTGTCACTTGATGTAGAGTTGACTAGAAATAGGTGAGAGAGGTCTAGAATCTGGTGGGAGCATGTTCCAGAACACCACTGATTAGCAGGCCTCAGTGGAACAGGCAAATAGATACATTTCTATTAGAGAGGTGACAGTCTTGTGGCTCAGGGGGGCTGCGACACTCCAGGTCACGTGGCCGGTGGGTGGGGCCGGGGGAGCCAGACTGGCCTGGGTGTGTGGGAGCAGTAGGGGGGCTCTGTATCCAGCTGCATTTCCTCGAGGGTTCTAGAGAGCCTGCCGCTTGGGTTCTTTTGGGATTGGGTTAGGGAGCTGCTGAACTATAAGGGCTGCTATAGGACCCAGACCTTCTCTGGACCTCTGTGGGTGGGTCCTGGGTGATTCCTAGGGTGACTGGGTTCAGAGATGGTGACATGATGTCTTCTGGCTTCATTGTAAGGAACTCATGCCTAATTCTCATGCTTTCCTCTCCTGTATCAGGCTGTGTGCAGGCACCAGTCCCTTGAATAGCTGCGAGTGATTCTGGCCTGAAGAGAGACTCTGAAGTTAGAATGTGGGAAGAACATTTGGACTCTAAGGGCGGACACTCAGGGTGCAGGGGTTCTAGTCACTGCCAGCCACACGTCCCAACTCCTCTATGGTAACTACCATTCATTCTAAAGGATTTTTTTTTTTAATTCCATGAATGAGTGAAATTATACAACATTATCTTTTTCCTTCTGACTTATTGATCTGTGGTTTTGATTTGCATTCCCTTAATAATAAGCAATGGAGAACATCTTTCCATGTGTATCTGTTGGCAATCTGTGTGTCTTATTTGGTGAAATGTCTATTTTTAGATCCTCCACCCATTTTTAAATCAGGGTGCATGGTTTTCTGCTGTTGAGCAGTACAAGTTGTTTATGTATTTTGGATACCAACCCCCTTGACTGACCCATGGCTTGGAAATATCTCCTCCCATTCAGTAAGCTACCTTCTTGTTTTAACAAAGGTTTCTTTTGCTGTGCAGAATTTTTTTAGTTTGCTGTATTTACATTTTCATTTATTTCTTCTTTTTAATGGTGAAAAATTCACAATTAGAATCAGCCAGACTCCGTTTAGAAGGTCTTAATTTTGTTGCTAACACCCAAAGCATCATAGTCAGGAGCCAGTCAAATTTATGCCTTTTCTCCATCCGGTTTGATGAGGGTGTTGACCTTGGCCACATCAATGTCACAGAGCCTCTTCACAGCCTGTTTAATCTGGTGCTTGTTGGCCTTGACATCCACAGTGAACACAAGTATGTTGTTGTTTTCTATCTTCCTCATGACTGACTGAGTGACCAGGGGGATCTTGATGATGGCATAGTGGTCAAACTTGTTCCTCCCGGCGTGGGTGTGGGGGGGGTGCTTTTCTGAGGATATTTCAGTTGCTTTTAGAGTTACCACCGCAGGAAGGCAATTGATATGTGGGCTTTTTTTTTTTTGCATTGTGAATGCCTTTCAGCAATGCCTTTCTTGGCCTTCAAAACTTTCACTTAGATTTAGCTTTGGGAGAGAACGATACTATCCCCTTTGATTTGGGCTCCACCTTTGTGAAGAGTTCTTAGTTGTTCCTCTTGTTTCTTTTGCTGTTGGAGATGAATGCACAAAGACATTAAGGTCTAGGACCTCCCTGGTGGCACAACGGGTTAAGCACCGCACTATGAAGCAATCCGCAGCCTCTGCAGCACAAGTTCAATCCCCGGCCAGCCAAGGAGCAACCCACATGGCAAAGCAGACCTCTCCTGCCTCGCCTGCTGCTCCCCTCAGCAGTGTACTCCGGTCAATCTGCCTATCTGCTCCCTACTCTGTCTCTGGTGAATCCTCTCCCCCCCGCCCACATCTCTGGCCTGTACCCCAGCTCTTGTATGCATAAATAAATAAATCTTAAAAAAAAAGACATTAAGGTCTATGTCATTGAATTCAGGCTGCAGTGGTGATAGCACTGAGATTTAATCCCTAGGCTACCAGGGGTTAAGTAAAAAAATCCATTTTGAGTTGATTTTAGTATATAGTAAAAGATAGTGGTCTAATTTCATTCTTTTACATGTGGCTGTTCAGTTTTCCCAGTACCAGTTATTTAAGAGATATTTTTTCTTCATTGCATGCTCTTGACTTCTTTGTGATAAATTAGTTGCCTACATATGTGTGGCTTTATTTCTGATTCTATTGCATTGATCTGTGTACCTGCTTTTTTTTTTTTTTAAAGATTTATTTATTTTTATACAAGAGCTGGGGTATAGGCCAGAAGCGCGGGAGGGTGAGAAGATTCACCAGAGACAGAGTGGGGAACAGAACAGGCAGACGACTGAAATACACTGCTGAGAGGAGTAGCGGGCAGGTGCGACAGGAGAGGTCTGCCGCACCATGTGGGAATCTCCCTGGCCGGCCGGGATCAACCTGCACTGCAGAGGCTGCGGACAGCTTCACAGTGCTGCACTCAACCCGCTGTGCCACCAGGGAGGCCCTGTGTACCTGTTTTTTAAGGACAATATCGTACTGTTTTGATTACTTTCATTTTGTAATATAGTTTGAAGTGAGGGAGCTTAATAACTCTTCTTGTACTTTTTTCTCAGAATTGTTTAACGAATAATACAAGAAATATGCTATTTATAAGAAATGAACATAAAACATAAGGCTATAAATTGAAAGCAAAGATAAATATGATAAGGTGATTTTTTAGAGAATCAGAGTGCATTGCACATAGTAGAAATGAGTAATTTTCATGAGGTACTTTAGTTTATGTGCATGAATATGTATATAGGTACTGATTCATGAAATAAAATATATTACTTATTCTGAGTTGTGGTTAATGGTTAAAAAAAATTTGATCACCAGTAATCTTCAGAACCTTTTGCTGATATACACCAGCAGATATATACCACAAAACACATAGTAGCATTGTTTGTTATAGCAAAAAGATACACATCTGGATAGCCAAAGCAGAATGAAGAAATATTAATACATCGGAATACTATACAACACTGAAAAATGAATAAAGCTATATGCATCAAAATGGATGGATCTCACAGATATTGAAGAGAAAAAAGCAAGTTACAGAAGCACATAGAGAATTCTATTTATATAAAGCTTAAAGGTACCCAAAACTAAATACTTAGGAATTTATACAGAGATAAAATAATTAGGAAAAACAAGGGACTGCTTAACACAAAAATTCTGGATAATAGTTATGTTGGAGATTAGATGGGTTTAGAGTTGGAAGCTGCTGTGATCAGAACAGTTCCCACGGGGGACTTCAAAGGTACTGGTGGGTGTATGAGGATTTGTTTTATGACTATTGCTATTTAAATCATTAAATGTATATTCCACGTCCTCTTTTGCATGTGTGAGAAATTTATAAAACAAAAAGCTTGTGCTGTCTAGTCCCTGCTATTCCTTCATTTTAGAGTCATTACCCTGGATTATCTAGCTAGCTTAGGAACTGGATTCCCTAGTTCCAGTCTCTCTACCTCCTGTCTGTCTTCCACATTGTACCAGACCTGCCTTCCTAAATTACATCTCACATCAGGCCACTGTCGTACTCAAGCACCTTCTCTGGCTTCCACTGCCCACTCCATAAATCTAAACTCTTCTGCTCCATTTTCCCCACCTGAACTACCATTCCTTCTCCCTCTTCCTCCTTCCTTCAACGCCCATTCCAGGTCCCCTACTTTCCCATCTGAGCTCGCAGAATGTCCCTTTTACCCCTTGTCAGAACTCTGTAATGGTGACAAGGTGAGGTCACAAAGCCCCCAGGAAGGAGCGGCCTCATCCTCAGAAGTGAGGATTCTGGGAATTCCTCAAGCTGGATCTGGGCTTCGGTGCTCATCGCAGATTTGGAGGTGATGGCAACTCTATTCCTCAAGTGAAACTTGTCCACATGGCTCATTGGGTCACATGGGATGAGGGGTCTTGGGTTCCATCCATATCTTTTGGGCCCAGCTAGACATGAGCTTGTTAGCTGTGTGTACAGCTTTGAGGTGTGACTGCAGGAAAGGGGCCAGGGCAGTGGAAATAGGGCAGAGATGTATGGAAACAATGTTTTCTAGCCTGTTCATGCGCATTCCTCCATACCCCATCTACCGTGGAAAGATATTTGCACTGGGCTGGCATGAGCTGTTCCTATTCTCCGGGTTGAAGGATGTGTGTGACTTTATGTCCTTCAGGGCAGAGAGCAGATGCATGGGCTTAAGACAGGTCTGGCTCAGCCATGGCCCGGCAGGATTATTCACATGGTTCTGGGTCCCTGCTTCATGGCACCGTTGTAGACTGTCAGCCTGCCCAAGGAAAGGTGATGGCAACAGCAGTACCTGCCTGCCTACTTCACAGGTGCCGGTGCGCCCCAGTGGAGATGGTGGAGCTACAGCACTTTGGAGTGCGACGCTCTGTGCAGGTGTCAGCTCCCATGCCCATCTGCTAGGAATCGGCACGTGGAGGCCAGACGCAGGAAGTGAAGGGGCTGATTTTGTCACTTACAGACAGCACTTGCCGTAGTGGCCTTGAGTTTGGGGAAGGAGCCAGTGTTTGGATCCCTGCCATTGATGAAGTTAAGGAAGTTTTTTCAGATTCTTAGATTTTTAGGAATGACTATTGAATTTATTAAAGGCCTTTTGTATTGATGTAGATGACCATCTGGGGTGCGTCACAATAATTGATTTCCTAGAGTTTAGGAGTAAATTTATGTGATCTCACTTCGAAGACTCAGCTCCACAGACTGTTGTCCTTTGTGCCTGGGTTCATGCTACCCTTGGCATCTCCAGGCCTGGTGGAGCAGCTCCCACCGTGCCAACCCAGTGCATTTCATTTTCCCAACTGCCTTTGGGGACCAGAAAGGTTAGCAAGCCCATTTTACAGAAGAAGAAATAGAGGCCCAGAGAAGTTAGGTGACCTGCTGGTGACAGCAGGGGGGGTGGGGGTATGGAAATTGTCCTTCTGGCCTCAGTCGAGTGCCCCTTGTCTGTTCTTCTCATCTTCCTGGTCTTCCTCCCTACCCGACTTGCCTGAAACCCACAGTGTGAAGAGGTGAAGGAGACCATGCAGGGCCTGAGGCACAGCAAGGAGGAGCTGAACAGGCTGAACCAGGCCATCCAGCAGCTGACCGTGGAGGTGGACAGTGCAAAGAGACAGTCTAAGAGTGGGACCGGGGGACAGCAGAGTGGCGATGGGGTAAGGGATCAGGTATTTATGGTAACTAGACTATAGTCCTTGTCTTTTGGAATTGGTGGGCAGAGTTTCTCTGTGTGTCTGAATAAGCAGGAGTGTGGCTGGAGTGTCCATCGCGCTTACATTAGCCTAGGACTCTGTATTTCATGTGGGTGAATAATTGGCAGGTAAGTATATACGTACGAAGGTGCATGCCTGTTTCTGTCATATTGTTGTATCCATGTGCACACTTTTGTCTCTGTGTTTTGTTTGTCCTATTCGGCATTAAATTTAAACCCATTTTTAGAAACGATCTCAGGTTCTGAGGGATATATATTTGTGGGGGTTCTCCCTATTACAGGAGCTTGTGACTTTGAGGAGGGATGAACTGTTCCAGTTCCAGGGGTGGCAAGTGAGCGGGGTGGGGGCCGCCAGGGTTCAGTGTCCCGTCAGCTACAGCTGCTCTGACTTTTCCAAAGGTTCCCTAAGCAGCGAGCTCACTTCTTCAAGACGAGTGTTTATTGTTATTATTTTGCCCCAGAGACTATAAGTTCTAGTCTCCTATGAAGGCAGGCTGTTTTCCCTTTGAATTTCGTCGATGAAATAATAATCCTAGCATTATGTACTAGGGAGCATATGCTGCTTCCTCCATCCTAGCTCATATTAGACAAGCTACCTACTGGTGTAAAAGTTTCCCTCTCCGAACCGCCACCCTGCGAGGAGGGCAGACATAACACACATTTTGGAGCAGGCACGCTCATTCTTCTAAGCCATTTGTAACCCCTCACTGGCGCTCCAGTCTCTGAGAAGCGTCTGGATTCTTGATGGGAGTGGGTGGGTGGGGACCAAGGCTGTCCTGTCTGTGATCTTCCCTTTGCCCCCAGTCCAGCAAGCTAGCGCAAGCGAAGGACCTGCCAGCCCTTCAGGAGGAGGAGGGGACCTCAGACAATGCCAAGGGCAAGCTGGCCTGGCTGGAGGCTGCCCTGCAGCGGGCCAAGCAGGACATGGTGAGGCAGCTGCGTGAGTACCAGGATCTGATGATAGTGAAGCTCGGCCTGGACTTTGAGATCGCCACCTACCGCAAGCTGCTGGAGGATGAGGAGAGCAGGTGAGGCCAGGCACTGGCCTCGACGATGCACTCAGCCCCTGGGCCTCACAGTGGGGGAGGGTGGTGAGTGGTGACCTGGGTATCCAGGGACTTGTTCTGCTGTCAGTAACCCCCCGTCCCCCACTGTCCTACAGTCCTGTAGACAGAAGTCCCAGCAATGGAGCATCCTGGCACCTGGGATTGGGTGACTCATGAAGTCATTTGCCCCCAGAGTTTGAGAGCAGGGGTCAGTTTGTCTACTGAGACAGCAGCAGGGACCACAGCCAGGCTACGGGCACGCAGGTCCCCAGCAAGTGCCTTCCCTCCTCTGTCCTCCAGGCCTCGGGCAGGCAGGGAGACAGGCACAGGTAGTGCTTCAGCTTGTAGCTCTAGACAGCAGTAGAGGTCCCAGGGCTGCCGCCCCAGCTGGGTCTGCCGGGCTGAGGGGAGGGTCAGGGGACTGAGCACAAGCACCCTACATCGATCATTTCCTCTGAACCCCATCAAAACCCTAGAAAGAGCCTATTAGCCCCATTTTACAGATGAGGAAACTGAGTCTCAGAGAGCAAGGGGCCACCTCAAGGACACTCAGATGGAAAGTGGCTGGGTGAGGCTTGGACAGTATTTTTCAGATAATTGAGCTATTTCCTTTGTGGTCTCTTCAAAAGTTCAAAATGCTCCCCCCACCCATCCCTCCTTTCAAGCTAAACTGCGGTGGAAGAAAGTACAGACCTTTCACTTTCTTCCTCCTCCAAGAAGTCATCAGTGAAAATGAGTTAATTCAATGTAAAGCAGGAGAGATTGAGTCTAAAGGCCCAGAAGGAGTTTTTGATGCAAAAAGTTGCAGGGGGGGGGTGGCGGGGGTGGGGTGGGGTGGGGGTGGGGGTGGAGGGGTGGAGGGGGGTTGTCTGAGAACCAGACCGAGAGCCTGGCTGGAGCGGCTGGAGCCGGTGTTTTCTTCTGGGCGGGTGGAGACGGTTCTGGGGAGCACCTGGCGGAGGGATGATGCGCTCACCTGCTCCCTGCTCCTCCCCGCAGGCTTGGTCTGGGATTCGGGGCCCGGAGCATCAGTAAGTACATAACAGGGCTGCCTCGGCCTGGGCTTCAAATATTATCCACCCCCCCCCCCCCCGCCTCTGTGTGCACCCTGGGATGGGAGCGGGGTCTGTGTCTGTCCTGCCTCTGAGCCTTCTGGGGTGACTGTGCGTGCTGGAGGTGGGGCTTCTTTGGTGTGGGCTGTTCTTTGGGGCCAGGCGGTTCCGTGGGTCTGTCCTCGGGCTTTATCCTTAGGTGGGTAGAATCCGGCGCCGACCTCGGGGCGCTGGGGGCTCCTGCCTCGCTCTTGGGGAGGGGGTACTGGGGATCTGTTGCTTTGGGGAGCTTCCCTCCTGCCCCTCGGCGGGGAGAAGGGTCTGCGCCTCTGTCCCGTGGGGGAGCTCGTGGGGCGTCTCCGGGGCCGTGGGGCGGGGGGAAGGGGGTCCGCCTCCTGCAGCAGCCGCTCTCCCCCAGCCCAGGGCGGGGCTCCCCCCGCCGCGCCCGCCGCGGAGCCCGCGGGCCCGGACACGAGCGCCCCTGGCGGCGGCGGCGCGCACTGCGGCCCCCCGGTCTGCGGCGCGGGCCTGGCTTGCAGCGAACCCCGCGAATGCTGACCCGTTCTGGCCGGCCCAGGAGAAGCCCAGGAGCCCTCACCCGAAGACTTAGCCCCGCACCCCGGCGCCCTCGCCCTGGGGCCGGCCCCCGCCTCGCCCGCGCTCTCGCCCCGCCCGGAGCGAGCTGTCGGGGAGCAGCTCACCGGCCGAGAGACCAGCCGCCCCGCAGCTCGCGCCCCGGCCCAGCGCCCCGTCCCCCTCCCGACCCCCGTCCCGCTCCCGGGGCTCCTCCTCTGCAATAAAAGTTCTGCCGTGAACGGAGCGGCCGGGGTGCCCGCGCCTGCATTTCTCACGGTGTCCTCAGGACAGCACTGGCTGGATTTGGAGGTGGGAGGAGATGCGGGACCGACCTGGGGGCACCTCCTCCCTTGTGGAGTCTGGGTTTGCACGGTTCAGTTTGTGGTGACGCTATGGAGACAGTCTGGGGGCGGGGCGTGGAGTCAGAGTGCGCTGGTGAAATGCACGAAGGGAGGGTCTAGTACCCCCTCTCTTGGGGCCCACGAAGGGAGGGTCTAGTACCCCCTAGCCTGGGCCCAAGTCATCTGCTCTTGGCCGAGGAGCTGAGAGCTGCGGTCCTTCAAGTACTCACCCTGCAAGCAGTTGCTGAGCGGCCCTGAGGCTCAGGCACAGTGGCGGTGAGCACGGGGGTGATGCAGGATAAGAACAGAAGAACTGGAAAGGAGGCGCCACGAGACCAGAAACCTGGCTCAGCTACATCAACGACACCCGCCTGGGACGCAGGCCATCACAAGGAAACGCCAGGATGAAGCTGAGAGGAGCTTCTACTGCCCCGATAGGGACATTCGAGGACAGGTGGTGGAAGAGATGGTCCTCAGAGGTTGGGGCTGGGGGTGTGTGAACACAACTGGGTGCCCCAGACCCAGGTTCTAGTGTAACAAGTGATTCGCTGGTGCACTGAGAACTGTGTACTGTGGTGGAGGGAGAATTGGGCTTTGGAATCAGGTGGAGATTTCTGCTCCGTCTGCACTGCAAGACTTACCATGTAGTTGGTCTGAGCTCACAAAGCAATTGGACTTTGTGGGTAGAAGATAGACCAGCTTGGGGGACAGGGTGGCCAGAGAAGGGCTGAGTTTCTGGGCCTTTTCCTAGCCACCCAAGCCCAAGAGAAGCCTCTGCTCAGGGAGGGCGCATTCTTTTCTCTTGCACAAAGGATTACATCACCAGCAACCTCAGGAACAATGGCTCCTGCTTTCTGTGTCCCTGGGTGGGGCTAAGGTGCGTCATTGGCCAGAGGCCCTGGCTTTACCTTTTAAGGTAAGCTAGTGCCACAGTGTCTGCCGTGTTCTCCTGGGTCCCTGCCTGGAGAACAGGTATCCAAAAAGGCCCCCTTCCTGGATAAACAGAGCAGTCTCATGCCAAAGGAATGGGGCTGAAACCTGGCTGGTAGGCAGCCATCATCCAAAGAATGTACTTGGTCTGAGCTCATAAAGCAACTGGACTTTGTGGGGTAGAAGATAGACCAGCTTGGGGGACAGGGTGGCCAGAGAAGGGCTGAGTGCCACTGGGTATATGCATCAGCCCTGAGGGGTGAAAGCTGATCCACACCAGCCACATAAACATTCTTACCAACACTCCCAGCACAAGCAGCTGCCTGATGGCAGAACCCCCTCTGCGCTTGTTCCTTGCATTCTGCTAGGAGGTAATACCATTCTGTGGCTTCTAAGGTCAGGTTTTTCTAGCTCCTGCTGTGCTGATCACTTCGAGGATCATGTCACTGCGGGAAGTGCAGAAGCAAGTATCCTCCAGAAGTTGTCCGGAGGGTCTGTGGCGAGCTTGTATCACAGAGGACTGGTTGCCCACATTCTCCCTTTCCAAGTCTCAAGGCTGGACCTGCCTGTCAGTCCAGGAGATACCAGGGACTGTGGGTCAAGTTTGAGTCTCTTGCTGGGCCAGGTCCATGTGGGTCACCAGCGATGTTTGTGGTTTTGCAGTTTGAGAACCAATTTTCTGAGTGGCTCCCTGGCCAAGGGCCACATTCCAGCCTGGGGTGGGAGAGTCATTCAGCAGCCCATTTACAGGCTTTGCCAGTTGGAGTAACTCCTGAGAGGAGGAGGTTGTCACCAGTTTGGTCATCACTTCTCAGCAGAGGGGACTCTGAGGGGTCAGCCCTTAGCTCTCCATGTCTGCCTCATACCTAATAGCACTTAAACACGCCTGATGTGACTTAGCTGTTCGTGTGTTTACTTGAGACCCCGCGGGTAGTGATTCTCTCACGCATCCAGCTCCAGCGTTTGCACGTAGTGCATGTGAGCAGGTCAAGGCTTTGTGGGCCTGGCTGGTCTTCCTTGTCCTTGGATGCATTGAACCTTGTCCTCCCACCACTAACACGTCTCACCCTCCAGCAACCCCTTGGGAGTCTCTTGATGGGTCAAAATGCAGCCCCTTCTTGCTAGCTGCAGTATTCAACCAGACTCTGTCCCAGTTCTGTCCCCGATCTTGCTATGACTGGGCCCAACGCTTCTCCTGGTTCTGGGCGCCCTCCTCAGATCTAACTGGTGAAGATTCATTTCTCCCTTTTCCCCTCCCTACTTAACTTCTCTGCACCACAGTACAGAAAATAGTACTCATCATGTGAGAATGAAGTATATTACAGTATGTAAAGTGTTTTCAAATTAATAAAAGTAACAAAGACGTAATTAAAATTTCATTTACTTGAGTTCTTGGGCAAGATTTTGGCCCCTTTAAAGAAAGCTCTGCGAAGTCTTTAAGGTCAAATGTCACCTTCCCCCACTGTGGTGAGAGTGACTAAGGGGCAGGAAGGGGGGAGGTAGTTTAGCCCTGACCCAGGGGCACTGCCCTGTGTGATACCCAGCAGCTCCTGCTCACCAGGACTCCCCTCTTGGCCCATCTGTGACCCCATCTCATTGGCACACCTGTCCAATTGTACGCCCACAATACACTCATATCCACACGTACCCATAAAACTCTTTTGCGCATGCACACAGGCATGCGCACATGCACACCTGTGACTACATGTGGGAAATCCTCACAGTTAAACACACACACACAGACAGCCACTCACAGACAGCCGCCCGGGACAGTGGGCTGGGCAGAATGGACACAGACAGCTGTGCACGCAGCAGTGCCACGGCCCCTGGCCCCTGCTTCCCCGAGGCCCCAGTCCTGGCTGACCTCTCCTCTAAAGAATACTAGAGCTTTCCGTTGCTAAGGGACCTCAGACATCACCTAGTCCAGCCATTTTCTTTCACAAGTGAGACCCCAGAAGGGAGATGATGCGCTGTACGTGATGCAGCGCGGTATTCCCTTTTCTCTCCATTCTGCGCCCCAGGTTTTGTGTATTTGATCCACTCACCCCTGCTCCCCTGCCTGGCTTGGTCCAGCAGTGGGGTTGGGGTGGGGTGGGGACTGTGTTGCTGGAGCGGGAAGTGAAGGTCATAGCTGGAGGGAGGGTGAGAGCAGGGAGGCCAGGAGGCCATCGGGGCCTGAGACATGGAAGCGAGGGGTCCCTCTGCAGAGATGGGAAGTCCCTCTGGGCTGGGGTTGCACATGGCTTCTGAACGGGGGAGGCAGAGCTGAAGCTGATGCTTGGGCCTCGGGCTTGGACCCTTGGCCGGGCCTGTGTGCTGTCATGGCGCGAAGGGCTGCTTTGAACAGCTGGACACTCTGGAACTCTCCTGGGGCTCTGTCCTGCTCAGCATTCCATGCAGGGAGTGCAGGGGCCACGTCAGTGACTGCAAACCGTGGACTATTTTTATCTCTTAAAAAGGCCTTTGTTTTTTCAGATCACTTATTTCTGTTGTCTCAATGTTCTCACTATTTCTGTCACCTTGAGGGATGGGCACGGGGCCCTGCATGTCTGCACCTGGGTCTAGAAGTCTGGAGTTTCACCTTGCTATAAAGAGAGATGGTCAGGGACTCACCTTGGCCCATAGTGAAGCCAAGGGGCTGTCACCCCCTTCCCACTGCCACTTGTAAGATCCTCATCAGTGTGTGTGTGTGTGTGTGTGTGCATGAGGATGGGGGAGACACTGCCCAGCATGAAAAAACTGGATTGACCTAGAAGATGTGGTCACTTCCCTCTGAACATGAGATACCTGATCACAGATAGAAGTGCTCCCAGAGGCTGGCCACGGCCCTGATCTCTGGCAGGATTTCTACTTTATATTGTGCAGAAGAATAGCGCTGATAACCCCTGTTCTGGTTTCATGGCGCTCATCTTTTTTATGTACAGGAAGTTCCTTTCATCTTCCCATCAACTCCTTCTTCCCTTTTACTCTAGAGATGTGGAAACAGCGAATCGCAGTGAACCGTCCAAGGTCACTCAGCTCAGAACGGAGTCCAGCTCTGGACCAGGCAGTCTGGATCCAGAGTCTGTGCTCACCTCTGAGCAGCATCATTTTCTTGCTATGTGCTGTTTTCTGTCTCTGAGGTGTCTTATCAGCTATGGAAGGTCTCCAAACCCCAAAAGAACTTCATTAAAAAACAAACAACAACAACAAAAAAGTAGCCATATGAAAGACTTTGAAAATTTAAATTATGTTTGTGTACTTTTGCCTTAAAGAATTCTAATAAATTACTCAGGCATGAGTCTTCCCCACCAAAGCAATGAGTGATGTTTCCTTAAGCTTTGAGTGATTGATGGATCTCATTGTCATTCTCCACCAGTTTACAGATGTGCACAGGGATGCTTTCTGGGAGGCAGCTGTGGTTCACCGACGTGAACACATGCAGCAAGATGCACCAGGCTTCAAACCCCAGGAACCACTGGACTCCATGTGGGGCCCCTCCCGAGGGACTGAGTGTCTCTCAGCATCTATTTCTTCATCTGCAGATGTGTCATTCAGGTTGTGTGGCCAAAATTATATCACACAAGGGCCTCACACAACCCTGGTTAAATCTGAGATTTTTGTGACCCCAGCGATGGAGACCCCCGGACTAGGGGTACTGGAGTGGTAGAGTACTGGAGACCTCAGACTAACGCCTTGTCAGTTCCATATGACTTTGGGGACCCATCCAAACCCTGACCCCTGGGGAGGAAAACAGAGGCGCAGACAAGGCCAAGTGTTGGCTACATTGATTTAATGAAACAACAAGTCAAGACAGAGTGCTCAGCAGAGGAGGAAGGGAGAGGCTGGGAGGCCCTGGCCACTGGCCCTGTGGCAGCCAGGGTAGGGTGTTGGTGCTGGTCTTCTTCCCTGCGCAGAGTCCCCTTCCTGTGGGCAATAGGAGCCTTCTTTGCGGGGCAGCCTTTCGCAGCTCCGGCAGCAGAACCAAGCAAGAGGGAATCACACACAGAAACTAGAGATCACCCAGAAGTGGGATGGACCTTTCAAAGTGCCAGAGCGGTGGCAGAGTGCTTGCTCTGCCCAGGAGGGGGTGCTCTTCACTGCGGCCCAGGCAGGGCTGGTCACGCCCGTCTGGACTGGAGAGACATCCACCTGGGCATGAGTCTGGGCATCTAACATTTGCGGCAGGACATCCGGGTGGACCCGCAGGAGGCGCTACTGGCGCTGCTGATGATTGGCCTGGAGCTGGACACGCCCAGGTCCCCGCAGACGACTCCACCCCGGGAGCTGCTGACACCTGCGAACCCCAAAGGTTGAGTCAAAATTCTGGGGGAGGGAGTCATTCTGCAAATGGGACAAATGCCTCCCACACCGCCTGAGCTTTGGTATTAAAAGTCAGGAGAACTGTACTTGATAACTCTGGGGCTTTCTACACCTAAACTGTGGTCTTTCCTGCTGTTTGACCCTAATCCTCTTGCTGTGAGGCCAGTCTCCACTCTTACATTTAGGTTTCACTGAAAACCCCCCCCTCCCAGACTCTGCCATCCTTCAGAGGAGGGAGTTTATTGGACCACACAGGCTGTATTACTCACAGACATTCACGGAGCCAACACCTTCACACAGCCTGAGAGGGAGGAAGAAAAAGACTTGATTAGTGACTGGCCACCAGGGGCAGACAAAACTCCCAACATTTTTGGAGTGGAGTCCCCAGGGGTCAACAAGGTAGGAGCAGAGGGACAAGATCAGCGCTCTCAAGCCATATATTTCAACAAAGCAAAAAACCCATAGGTTTTTTCGAGACCCCCGGCCACTGCTCAGTCGTGAGAAAGGGTGGCTTTTGAGCAAGAGACAGGAGGGCAGCTAATGGTGAGACGGGGCTGGGACCCACCTGTGCTCCTCGCCCTCCAGCAGGCGCCTGTAGGTGGCGATCTCGATGTCCAGGCCCAGCTTGGAGTTCATCACCTCCTGGTACTCCTTGAGCAGGCAGGCCATGTCCTGCTTGGCCTTCTGCAGGGCGTCCTCCAGACCGGCCAGCTTGGAGCGGGCGTCGTTGAGGGCGGCCTCGCCCTGCTGCTCAGACTGGCTCACGGCGGCCTCCAGCTTGGCGTTCTGAGAGCCCACAAGAGAACGAGAGGGGGTGTGAGCCATGGGTCAGGGTCCATTTGCTGCAAGTGCCTCGTGTCTCCCTCCCAGCTGGGATTAGCCAGGAACAGGCTACTCGGCTGCGTCACCTGGGCCTCCCCGAGGGACCAGAGCCGGGGACTCTGCTCAGGCTAACAGCCAAACACGAGGGTGAGCTCCAGGTTGGCACACGCACCCACGGCCGCCTGGGTCACCCCAGCCGCTCTGGCCAGGGCACAGAGAGCTTACCTGGGCCTTGGCGTTCTCCACCTCGGCCGTCAGCCTCTGGATCATGCGGTTCAGCTCGTTGATCTCCTCCTTGGTGCGGCGCAGGGTCTCGCCGTGGCGGATCACCGTGGCCTTCATCTCCTCGCACTGGGGGGCAGAGGCAGGGAGGCTCAGGGCACGTTACCCCCGTGAACCCACCAGCTTGCCCACCTGCCCTCCCATCTCCCTAGCTGGAGGGGAGCGCCCTCCAGAGACCCTCCTGCGGGGTTGGGGGGCCCTGGTGCCCACCTTGGTGCGGTACCAGCTCTCGGCCTCGGCCCGGCTGCGGCTGGCGATGTCGTCGTACTGAGCCTTGATCTCGGCGATGACGCAGTCCATGTTCAGGTCCCGGCTGTTGTCCATCTTGACGACCACCGAGGTGTCTGAGATGTGGGAGTTGAGAACGCGGATCTCCTGTGGGGGGGACGACGGAAGGACCCTGCTTACACCACAGCTCCAGCGGGTCTCAGCCCCTCCCCTCTCTGCAGCCCCGACCCCCTGGGCAGCCTCATCACCCAGCGCCCCCATCTGTGTCCAGTCCCACTTCCAGGCACGAGCCCGCTCTCCAGGCCGGCTGCCCCTTTCCACCTGGACCGGCCCCCTCACCTCTTCATACAGGCGCCGCAGGAAGTCGATCTCCTGGGTCAGGGCCTCCGCGTTGGCCTCCAGGTCCGACTTGCGCAGGTAGGCGCAGTCCACATCCTGGGGAGGCAGGGGTCCGTGAGCTCAGGGCACAGTGCTCATCACCGGCCCGGCTGCTTTCCTTGCCCCGTCCACGGAGGCCAGGGGACAGGGCCCCCGCGCTCCTGGTCCCACCCACCTCCCTCCATGTTCCCCTCCCTGGGAGACCCTCACGACGGCTCCCCTCTGAGAACAAACCCATGTGCCTTGCAGAAGGGCCATCACCTTTCACCCCCTCCAACACCCCGACACATCTACCCTCCATCCCCCCAGGTTAGCCTGCCCTGTCCCAAGAAGGCTGCCCGGATGGTCTCTGCTGCTCAGCCACCTGGACCCTCCCCGTCTCCGCCAGTCCCCGAGACCCCATCTGGCCACTCCTGGTTCCGCCCCATCCTCCCATGCCCTGGCCCCTGGTGCGTCTCCTCCCGCCAGACCCTCACAGCGCCGGGGACACTGCCCCGCAGCGGACTCTGAAGCTCCACGGGCCCTGCACAGCCCACAGCCCACAGCACAGTGGGCTGGGGGGGCAAGACAGCCACCCCTGCCCCGGGCCTTGCCAGTGAGTCTTCTGACTTTGCTGCCCTCTGCTGGGCAAAGCCTTGCATGACCTGCCCGCTGGGAACTTCCCATCCTGCTTGGGCATGGGCAGGGCCCCCACACTGAGCCTGAGGCCCTCAGGCTGGTCTCCCCAGGAAGACCCCCTGCTCTGCTCTGAGGCCTCCCTGTGCGAGCCTCTCCACCCGGCGGCGCTCACCTTCTTCAGGGCCACAAACTCGTTCTCGGCGGTTGCTCTCAGAGCAACCTCCTCCTCGTACCTGCGGCAGAAGAGGACCAAGAGGAGGTGAGCAGGCCTCCGCACACCCCCTCCGCTCACCCCAGCCAAGGGGCCGCCTCAGGAGCCTTCCCACCCAGCCGCACCCGGAGCCCCCTGTGCCCTCATGCCTGGACTTGGGTGTGTCTGTCATGCCCCCTCCGCTCTGAGGGGGGGTGGGAAGGGCCAATCTTCTGATGCCTCTAGATGTGCCCCCAGGGCTGCCCAGGAGGCACTCGGGCCTCAGCACCTGCCCTGTGTCAGGAGTGACGGGGCTCCCTCAGGGCACAGGGGATGCTGCTGAGGACCCGCTCAGGGAGGAGATGGCTTCCGCGGGAGAGAGGCCTCCGCGGGTGTGCAGCCTTGCCCCTGGCTGGCACCTGGGCCCCAGAGCTCCTGCCACACACGCCAGCCAGGCTGCCTGGCAGCGCCCTCCCACAGCTGCTTTCTCTCCTGATCCACGGGCGTGGGCAAGTCTGTCTCCTGGGCCCACCGCCACGTCCCTCCTGCCACACTCACTTCTTCCGGTAGCCCTCCAGCACCTCCTGCACGTGGTTGAGCTCGGCGGCCAGGCGCCCGCTGTCGGCCTCCACGGACTCGGCCTCCCGCCTCAGGGTCTCGATGTAGCCGTTGAACAGGGGCTCCATGTTGCTCTCGCAGCACTGGCGGTTCTGGTAGAACTGCCATTTGGTCTCCAGCAGCTTGTTCTGCTGCTCCAGGAAGCGCACCTGTCATTTGGGTGAGGACAAGGGGTTAGATGGCTCCTGGGGTCCCTAAGCCAAAATTGGGGGATGGCAGTGATGCCTTTGAGGTCTGCTCCCAACTTGGAGCTCAGCAGAGATTAGGCAGAGGTGGGCTGTGGGGGCCCAAGCAAATGCTGCATCTCCTGACCATGGTCCCTGTCTGCACATGCCCCTCAGGGACGGGAGCAGGGGCCCGGGATAGGCTCTCAGCTGAGCTGAGTTCCTGAGCCTCTTGAGTCCAGGCAGCGCCATGGGGTCGGGAGGGAAGGGAAGGCTCCCCCTCAACCTCAAGGCAGAGGATGAGTCCTCTTAGGCCAAGCTCCCAGACTCGGATCACAGCAGGGGCTCTGGGACATGATGTTACAGGTCATGTAGAGGAGAGCTCAGCTCAGCTGGCCTCTCCCCACTTGATCTTGTAGCCAACCCCCAACATCCCCTGCCCAGCCAGGGCCTGGGCAAGCCTGGCTGATCTCAGAAGCAGCAGTCATTTTCCCTCCTCGTCTCTCGAAGTGTGCCCTGTGCCCAGAGCTGCCGTGTGCGCCTCTCCCCACCAGCTCTGCCTGGGAACACTCAGCTGAGTCTTTCTGTGTCTTCAGTGAGGGCCTGATGGGGCTGTGTGTCTGTTGCCTCCCCCATCAGACAGGAACTCCTGGAGGCAGAGGTCTCTGTGCCTCTTACTCTCTCTGGGAGCCTGGCCTGAGCCTGAGCACAGGTGGAGCTCGGGAAAGGTGTGATGAAGGACACGCACCTTGTCAATGAAGGCAGCAAACTTGCTGTTGAGGCCCTTGATCTGTTCCTTTTCCTGAAATTTCACACCCTGGGCGCTGGGGTCGATCTCCAGGTTGAGGGGGGTGAGCAGGCTCTCGTTGATGGACACGGTGGTGATGCTTGGTGGGCTGGGTCCGCACACCCCGCCGGAGCGGTACCCGAAGCTGCTGCCGCCGGAGCCGGCCCGGAAGCCACCACAGACGCTGCGGCTGCCGAAGCCCCCGGAGATTCCACGGTAGCAGGAGACGCCGCGGTAAGGGGCGGCGGTGATGCAGCAGCGGCCAGCCCGGGGCGCACAGGCTGAGGCACAGCTGAAGGCACGGCCTCCACCGAATCCTGATCCACAGGTCATGGTAGTACTGGTGAGATGAGTTGCAGAGAACAGGAAGGAAGAGCAGGAGCCTTGAGAAACTCCAATGTGTTCCTCAAGGAGCTGCAGTCCTATTTATGCTCAGACTGAGCAGGGGGTTGGCCATGCAGACGGATTGGGGCAATTTGTGCTTTATGGGCTTGGGCGGGTGGCCTGGTCCAATGCCCGGCTAGAATGTGCTTTAATGGTGGAGTGGCCCGCACCCTCCTCTGTGTATGGGATGCCTGGCCGAAGGGGGACTCAGCATGTTTCATCTGCAAAGTGCTTTGCCAGCAGAACATGCACTCATTTGCAGATTTTGGGGAGAGAAAGGCCTGGCAGGGGAGGGAGGGAAGAAACAGGCCAGGAGAATGGAGGAGAAAAGTCAGATGCTGAGTGTGTATTCACTGTGTGTGCACTTTGGAAAGAGGAGGGGACCTGTTTGTGTGTATAGAGGTGAGTAGGGGGGATCCAGCAAAGTCTGAAGTATTTCCAATGACATCTGGAAGTTTCCATTCTAGTGAATGCCAAGGTGCTTTGACAACACACACTGTATCTTCCTCATCCCCAGGAGTCCAGAGGTTGCTGAAAACCATAGGTTTTTGGCTAGCAGATTATTAAGTAGTTGCGTTATATGTCTTTTTCAACTTTTGTTAAGAGATTTTTCAAACTAATAGGAAAGTTGGAAGAACAGTATAAGAAACACCTGGAGATGTCCATCCGCGCACCTAGGTTCCAGCTAGCTCTCACACTGTGCCGTGTTTGCTTTAACACTTGCCATTTATGTGGCGGCTACAGGAAGTATGCCTTGCAATCCTTACATACTTCCATACACATTTCTTAAGAGTAAGGACAGTGCCATTTCCACATGCAAGATAATTAACAATAATTACAAAGAATTATTTACTATCCATTCCCAATTGTCCCTAGATTAAAAAAAAAAAAAGGTCTTATGTGATTTAACTTATTCTTTATACCTTGTATTTTTTTTTAAGCTGCAATTAGATCTAGAGCTGGCTTATTCAATATGGTAGTCAATAGCTACAAGCATGACTGTTAAATATGAATTAGTGAAAATTAACTAAATTTAAGTTAGTTCTTCAGGGGGCACTGGCCACATTTTAGGTCCTCAGTGTCCACACGTGCTATCTGAGTAGGCAGTCTCGATACAGAACATTTCCATTACCATATAAAATTCCATTGGCTAGTGTTGGTCCAGAGGCTTGATTGGATTTAACTTGCTCATATTTGGGGAGAATACTTCATAAATGATGCTATGTAATGCTTATCGTCTTTCTCCAGTGAGCACGAAATATCAGGTTGTCATAGGTGATGCCAAGTCAGGTCACTTGAGAACTCTGTAGAGAAATGTAGTCCTATTTTGAAAAGAGGGCATTTTATTTTCAAGGGTCACCCACTATGCGGTTATCATGATGCCACATATTATCTGTATTATGTGAGAATTAGTATGTTAATGAGAATCACTAATTAATTAACTAATTAACTAATTAACGAGAACCACTAATTCTCATATCAATTGTATGAAGTATGTACCATTATCTCCATTCTACACATGAGAAAACTAAAGACACCCAAAGTCTCCAGGCTACTAAGTAGGGGAGCCCAGGGGAGCTGATGCTATCTCACCTTCAAGTTATGAAAACCCCTAGATTTCCTAACCCCTAGAAAACTTCAAGAGGGTAGGGAAAGTTGCTTCAGAGGGGATATCTGTGGGTTTGCACTCGGGAGAGGGGTAAGAGGAAGATGGACAGAGTCAGGGGGTTGGGGGTTTGGGAGAGACCAATGCTGGTGACACAGGGGAATTTGAGGCTGGAGGCCAGAGAGGCCTAGAGGTTAGATCTCTGTGATCCGGGGGCTGAGGATTGAAGAAAGGGCATGGGAAATGTCAGTTTGAGTTATTTCTATACGTCTGCTCAGTTTTCTGCTTGCCCAGGAAGCACTTCTCTCCAGCAGAGCAGGTCCTACAAAGATGAGCTCATAAAATACGGGGGTTTAAGAGAAGTGGCTGGCAGTCCCTCTGTGTCTGCTGTGCCTTAGGGGCGAAGTCAGCAGAGCAGTGTAGGGACAGAGGAAGGGGACAGGCTGGTGGCAGAGAGGGAAGAAGACAGCAGGGATCTTTGTGTCTGTGCAAAACTTTCAGGAGTGAGGCCTTGTGATGGGACAGAGGCAGGGTCACTGACTGTGTCAGCCATCTGGTCATTGCAGAGGAGGGTGCGGCACTGGCTGTCACTTTATGGGTTTGGGGAGCTGGACCAGCATTTCCCATTCCCTTCATACCTTCATCAGCAGTTTTGGGCATTGCCTACAATTGAGCGGTGATGCTCCCAGCAAGCCAGCTGGCAGGGTGTCCCCTGAGGAGAACCGCTGTGAGTCAAGATGCCTCTCACATGCATTTTACCTTTTCTGCCAGTGTAACTCCCTATAAAAATATCATGCATAAACATGAGCTAATTCCTAATGGCTGGCCCTGCTGGGCCATTAAAAGAAGCAATTTAAAACAAGATATAAAAAAGTCAGATGTGACACCATTTAATTAAACTTCAGGCATTCTTAATTGCTGCTAATTTTGGAAGACCTGAAAGGACATTCAACCTGTATGGTTTCTTGGATTGAAAAAGCTTGTGGTGGGGGAAAGGGAGAGAGGATGTGTTGGCTGAATCATCACTTTAGGGTCTCTGCTTTGGCGATGTGAGCTTTATGGAAGTTGAAATTGTTTTTATAGTGAAATATGTCACACACACACAAGAATGCATAGACGGTATGCCTACCGCCATTAGGAAGAAGCAACATACGTAAAACTTTACTTCCTGTGAGCATCACTCTGGCCTAGGGATGGCTCCTCTTCAGGATTTTGCATTTAATCAATTCCTTGCTTTTCTTTACAGTTTTATTTTTTATTTTTTTCCCATTTTAAAAAAAATTATTTATATAAGAGCTGGGGTACAGGCCAGAGGTGCGGGAGGGTGAGAGGATTCACCAGAGACGGAGCAGGGAACAGAACAGTCAGATGGACCAAAGGCACTGCTGAGGGGAGCAGCGGATGAGACAGGAGAGGTCTGCCGCACCATGTGGGATTCTCCCTGGCCAGCCGGGAATCGAACCGGCACCGCGGTGGCTGCAGACAGATTCACAGCGCGGCGCTCAACCCCTAGCACCACCGGGAAGGCCCCTCTTTACCGTTTTATATTTAATAATATACAGTATCCCTAACCTGTATATTGTTTAGTTTTCTAATTTTTGCACTTCTATTGTGTCTATTCTTGTGAGTCTGGTTTCTTACATTCAGCGCTATTTCTTGTAGCTGTACAGTGTTCATTTTCACTCTGGGTTGTACTCATTGTGTGCATATGCCACAGTTTGTTCACCTGTCTACCATGATGGCCTCATGGCTATGTTTGGAGTTTGGATTCTGAACAGAGTTGCCCCTGAACATTCCTTTTCATGTCTTCTAGTGTATTTGTTCAATAGTTTTTCTAGAGTCTGTGGGTATGTTAAAAACAGTATTCAAGTAGTATTGAAAACCATTCTGTGAATATTTTTCCAACCTTAAAAAATAATAACATCCTTGATGTTACTTTACTTCCTAGTAAATTCTATATTGAATCCAACATGCACCAACACATCTAAGTTTACAATTATAGTCAAAGGCAGGTGTTTTTCTAGCTTTACTGACAGGACACTTTACTGAAGTCCATGGATGTTAAGAGACTGCGGAGGTTGTATGGTTAGTGTCAGTGTCTGGTGTGTTTGATCCCAATGGAAGGGATGAGTTTACATCATCGTACCTCCTTTTATCTACCAACCGCTATCGTATCACACAGTAGATGGTGTTTGTATATGACAAGTTGACACACACTCTCTCTAACCCCATCCCCAGTTCCCTCTTGAGAGGTCTCAGGATTTAGGACTACAGCATGGAGGAGAGCTTCTGTCTTGTTCATGATTTTAAGAGAAAATCTGCACATGTATCCAGATCATGAACAAAAATGCAAACCTGCAACATGCCACTGGATAAAAACGTTTGCTTCATGGATATATTCCAAGGGCTTGGCACATAGTAGGTGCTTAATAAATATTTGTTGAATGAATGAAATGAGTACCAGCTGCATATTAAGTGCTGAGTCATGAAACCATCAAAGCTTGGTGGTTAATTGTGCAAAGCTTTCTGGTTGAATGGGGTGGGGACCAGATGAAACACACTAGAGAGTGGTCATTTCTGGGATTGGGGGTGGGGTGAGAAGATGGTCTTGGCTGGGCCTAAAGGAGGAATGGAATGAATTGGTGTGACCTTGGTCAGGTGATGTCCTTGACCTGAGCAGTGAAGGGGTGACAGGGAAAGTCAGCTCATGCGGGTGAGAATCCTGAAGGCCTTGGGGGAGGTAGGATGGGGAAGGAAAGAAAGAAGTAAATAGGAGGCAATTTCTATAGAAAAGATGATTGATCTTAAATAATTACTTTCCAGAGCTACTTGGAAGAAGGACTAGGACTGACGGGGAGAGGGGGCGGTGGGAAGAGAAGGAAAGTGGACAACAGTGGAGGAAAAATGGGAAGAAAACTCGGGGGAAAATGGTGGGGGACACTTGGGATAACGTAGAGGAGGATGAGGTGGATGGGGGAAGGGATGGAACGCTGAGGACAAGGTGCAGAAGACCTACCTGGAGAGACAGGTGTCTCCAACTGCAGCTTTATAGCAATGAATCCTCTCAGGGCAGACGCCTGGACTCAGGGAGGTGCAAAGGCTCAATGTGGTTAGTGGGACAGAACTCACTAGGGGCGGAGCTCCTGAGTCAGGCTTACTCCCCACCCCTCCAGGCTCTCCGAGGTAATTTGTCCCTTTGTGTAGAGAGTTCTGACAGGCCATTGGCCAGTGTCCCAGGCTGTCTTACCTGAGGGGGCAGGGCTGTGATTTGGGCCTTTCTCAACTTCCCCTGCCTGGTGAGTAGACTTGAGGTCTGCTAGCTCATCAGTAGCTTGGGAGTTAC